CTTTGTATTCATCTTAATTTCATCAAAAGAGTTCAAACGCGATCGAGTAATGTCTACAAGTTTTATGCAAAAAATAAACAAAAGGATCAACGCAAAAAACTCTACACCTCATACAGAAGATTATGTTTCCTTTTACATTAATGAGAAAAGACTTCTTAAACATCATGTTGGACTTGTATGGGTTCTTCTTTGACGTCTAAGAAATATTATGATAGATAAAATAACATTCCTAATCTGCTTTATGTAGATACAGTAGAGCTTCTACATTGTGAGCATCATTGGGGCCAATAGAACTCATTTCTGTAAAGCAAAACGTTCATAAAGAAAGAAATCAAGCAAATGAAAAACAAAAAAAAACAGTTTTTATAATTTTCTGGCTCCTTTTAAGTGCTTTTATATTATTGTATTAAATAGCTTTTTACTTTTAGTACTTTAATTTTTTAAACAAATATATACATCAGAATTAATGATGAATGTCAGTGTAACCATAATGATTCGACAACAGTAACAGTTAGGGAGCATCGCTTTTCAGCAGTTGCAAGAGGTAAACTACAGTCGTTTCTTTATCTGATACTATATAAGGCTAAATTATATTAAAGTCTATCATATTTCTACAACATTCAAGAAAATAAATGAAATCGGTGTTTCGTTTCAAAGAAACGTCGTTGATAAAAAGCTAAGAAAGAATTTTACCGAATTTCGCGACTTACCTTGAACCAGAATAGCAAATATGTGATTCTGTAGAATAATTTGCTGTCTATCGACTGGTATATAAAAAATCAAATTATTACTTGGATTTTGATGTGCTGCGAGTGCATATGCTGGTCATAATTCTTCAGAAATATATATGGTGCTTATAGACACTATGGTTTTCGAGATGTTTGAAGATAAGTTTATACAAATTTTGCTTTTAAGCTCGATTTGATACAGTTATATGTATTCTTTTATGTTCTATAAGCAATAGTTTTCATTGTTACTTTCTTTATATTTAAAAATGATTCCTTTCGAAGGTCTTGGTTATTTGTTGACTAGATCAGATTCCAGTGTGTTTAAGTCTGTGCGACAGAATAAGAGATTATCAAAGCGAAACTTTATCAAAAACTACACACTATCGAGCAATATATACATGACACATAACATATTTTGGTACAGTAGGGAATCATTGTTAACTTGCAAGATTGTTCCCTAGATTAGGTTTTTTCTTCATGAAGAAACCAATACACTAAGTGTCCAAAATACCGATTTGCTGTTCAAATTTCTTCATTTCCTTGAGTTCATTTTGATCAAAGATAGCCTCATCCCAACTGGATAGTTTCCTCTTCTGATGGACACTTTTCAAACGGATCGTTCTCTAATGTTCTTCTAGTCAGTAGTTTCATCATCTCCAAAGATCAACCGCGCTCATTTGTTTCATTCAAAAACAATGATTAGGCACACAAAATCAAGAAACAAACGGTGCGGCTTCTTTTAAGAGAAATACTTCGTAGCGACCAACTCTAAGAGATGAATGCTGCGGTTTCTTTTATCATGCTAATAGAAATCCTGTTTTTATGTATTTGTTCTGCGTTTCGACTTGTCAGCATCAATAATTATTTAACGACGTAGTTTCAACAAGAATATCAGAAAATCTCCAAGATGAACAAGAAATTATGTAAGAAAGATCAGCACCAAAACAATACAATGAAACTTATTTGAAAAGAACAAGTTCAAATTGCTGTCACTAATATCAAGTCTGTTACTTCTTGATATCAATTCTTCATTGATTTCTAAATAATACGATCAAGTAATTCACTATGACGCTATTAATGAAAGTCGTGTTGTCGAACGAATGGAGATGATGAACCTTGAAGCCAGAAGACTTTTCTAAGCGACTATTCCCTATGATTTTGAATTGACTATCAATGATCATCCGATCACTATGATCGAATAGATACGAGTTTATGTGCAAGTGAAACTCTAAAATGTCGAAATAAAACTGTCTCAAGTAAAATGTTGATAAGAAAGTATAGCATCATTAATAACTATAGAATATATTGAAGAACAATTTGATAGTAATCTTTGTTAATGTACTAGTGATCGATTTATGTTTGATTCTACTAGAATCATTTGGTAAAATCGATTAAACAAATTCAAACAATATCTAATTAAATTAAGCTTTCAAATGAATTACGACAATATATTTCTCAATCGATTTATAATAAACATTTATTGAAATATAATCAATTATTTTCATTTCATTCTTTTCTATTATAGGCTTATTAATTAAACTCATCATTCTATTGATCTTTAATATAAAATCTCAACGTTTGACTCATCTGCGTTTTATTTGTATAAGACATATTCTCGACTCTCTAGTCATAGCAAATTTATTTATAAGCATTCATATATCAACAAAATTTCTTCGTTCAATGTTGTTCAATTTGATGTATATGCGACAATTTTATCTGATACATGAGATTCCTTAGTTATATATTTATTCAATGACATTATTGAATCTCCGCTTTTATTTACTGTTTCAGCAACACTTTCTCAAGAAACAGCTTTTTTTTGGATGATCGAGAACAAAAAGGTTATGCTGAATATTTAAAAACTTATTAGCTGGATTTCGTTGAACGATTTCATACAATTTTATGCTGATGAATTTACGAAAGTTGTATATTTAAATAAACATGAAATATTCTAAGGAAGAAATTTTTACTACATACGATTACTGTTTTATCTTATCTTTTAGATTTTGTTTTTAATAAATTCCTAAATATAAAAATGCTCGTTACTCGCGTACAAATATCATGAATATATTTTTAAATAAGTGTGTTAATTTGCATGATGCCATCATAAGTACTCTATTTTGATTACTACTAAAAAATAGTGAGCCATTCATGCAGGATAAAATTATTTATGACGAGAGATATATTTTGAGTTAAGTACACTTATGCTATTAGATATTCCAGGAAAAATAGGTCTCTCAATATTTCAATCATATTCTTTAATATTCGTCTTTTAATTCTCTACAAAACTATATGATTTTTGTCAATGTAAATAACATTCATTATTCCTCAAAGCAAGCTTCAAACGAACATTTTTGTAATAGAACGTTTTGTCCGAATTTTTATGTTATCATGTTTTAGCTCGTCAATAAGAATATCTTTCGATAGTACTTTTCCCATTTAGTACAATAATCAAAATTATATCAAACTGAACGATTCAATAAGTTTTAATGTGAATTATTCAGTGGTCAATGTATCTTGTTGATAAAAAGAGAAAAAGTTATTTTGACACTCTTATTATGTTCATTGAGTGATATGAGATGCTTCACATTGTCTTAATTAAAATCTTCAATCTATTTCGAAGATTTCATATCCATATTTTATTAGCGCTTGAATAACATTATGTATATAATTATTGACCGCAATTATAATGTCCCGTGATTAATATGACTATCACTGTTAGATTAGAGATTTCGTTGGGTCAATGCCAAAGTTCATATCACTCAATTAACACAATATTGATGCCAGAATAACTTTTTCTCGTTTTCATCAATGAGAAGCATTGACCACTGAATAAGTAACATTTAAATTCATGGGACTGTTCAAGTTTAGGTGATTTTGTTTGTTGTACTAAATGACAAAAAGTACCATCGAAAAATATTCTTATTAAAGAACTAAAACATGAAATCATAAAAATTCGGACAATATCTTGTTTTACAACAATGTTCGTTTGACACTTGTTTTAGAAAATAATGGATGTTAGTTATATTGATAAAAAAAAAATATATCATCTTTGTAAAGAATAACAAGACGAATATTAAAAAAAGATATTACTAAAATATTGAGAGATCCATTGTACTGAGGACACTTGATACTTTATATCTGCAATAAACGATGACCAAATGTTCGTAATAGCATACTGTCATCTATTGACATTCACTAATAGATGTTAAAAAATATGTATTAATGTTTTTTTAGCTATCAAAACTCCATTTACATTCCGTAACATGACTGATTGGTGAAAGATATAATTTCAAGTAAAACTTTTTTCCAAGCTGGAAAAAGCGAATCCTTGGATTCTGATGGCTTCCAGTAGATTCTGATAGGAGCCACCAGGATCCAAGGATCCGCTTTTTCCCTCTTGCTTTTTTTCTCTATTGACTTCCATTAACCTTATTAGCGTATTTCTACTTTTAGATTCATTTCATGTGTATTTATATGACGATAAGCTTAAGAAGTCTTTTAAAAAACAGTCTGCGTTAACAGATTTAGTTTATCATAAAAAATTCGTAGTAAAGAAAATTTTTGCATGTGATTAGTATCATATTATATACTCTTGAACTTTGCTGAATAAATTAATATTAATCAATACTTTAATTCAATATCACAACATAAGATAAATCAATATTCATTCGATCATGGATTATTGATAAAGAAAAAAGAGAGAAAAATATTTTTCGTCTCTATTCTTTCTTTTTCTTAAATTTTATATGTAGATTAACGAAAAGTAAAAAGCGTTAATATTAATCTATTCAAAAAGGTAGATCGTGAATCTAGGTGATTATAAAAAGAAGAGAAAAGGGAACAGGCACATCTATGTGAATGATTTATTATCTACGGAATAATTGATACATTTCATATTGAGTGTATCAAATAGAAAAATTTCATTTGAGTATTCCTATAATTAATAAAAAGAATTCCATTTCTTGATTCAATCATTTTTCATTGTTGATTGTTTCAATGATACATCTCCTATATGTTACTTACTACACATAAAAAGGTCGTTTATTAAAAAAAATGAATGTATTTGCAAGCGATTACGTTGCTGTTATCGTTGAAACATATAAATGATCGATAACCACATATTAGAATGAAAGGGTAAATGTATTTGACAGAAATATCGCTTTCTCTTTCATTTTTCGTTCTTTTTCATTTCTTTTCTCATCAACCATTTTATATAAAGTCTTTTTACAGGTAACGAAGGACATACGGAACAAAATTTACAATAGCAACATGTTACGTTGGCAACACATTTTATTATGCTTATTAATATTATCAATCAAATTTTCATCTGTAAAACCATCTATTCTATCGACTAAATTCAATATAACTTTAATAACCCCACACAATACATCATTACCAACTACAACACCTCATGTATATATTATTCTATTCTATTTCGTTTATGACCTATTTGTTGTTTTTAAATAGAAATCAGTGCTTGTTAAATATAAATTACCACATGATGAAAATCAATGGACTATCGGTAAGACAATTTGTGCCAATTTTTAGAAAGAAACATCCCATGTGATCTAAATCAGACACAAATCATCGGTCGATCGTTCGATATAATGTGCGCTATGTCGACAGCGGCTTGATACTTAAATGCTCGGCTATTTTCGGACCGAAATTCTGCCGTATCATACTGATTGTTGTTGTCTGGTCGGCAATTTGTTGTCGAGATACTACTGGTGGTACTGCAAACAAGCGTATAACGTGGAATGTTTCACTTCTGCTGTGAAATTAGAACATAAATATTTGTTTATGATAACGTCTAGGATAAGAAGCAAAGATCAGAAAAGAAAATACGGCCTATACGAAGATATTAGTTATTGAGAATATATGCTTTGATCAATAAATTAATCACTATATGAGTCAATTAGAATGGAATAAACGAAACTCAAATATTTTTTTCTCGTCTGATTCAATCGAAATAAGCTTCTTAATTCAATTTAATTCTAATGACATTTTTAATAGCATTTAAATTAACAAAAAAATATGTCCAATCAAAACCGGTGATCATTCTAATAGGGAAATCTTTTGAAAAAGCAGTCATATTAATAACATCCCAATGAAAGATATACTAATGTTAGTATTCAAATTTAAAAAATTGAATAAAACACTCATGCGAATGTAATGAGTCCAAAAAATATCCATGATAGGAGGAGAATGAGAATAAAATAATTCACAAATGGAACCGGTCTAAAATTGGTATCTGTACTACTTATATTTCTGAAGCAATTCATTTAACTTTTAATTCAGTTTCATTTTCGTTCCATTCTATATTCTATAAATGATTTCTGCTTTCAATGATAACAAATTTTGTTACTAAAAACTAATTTTTTCCATGATAAGAAAAATATTCTAGCCCTTAAATATTCCTTCGCTGTCAGACTTAATATGTGATTCATAAAAAAGAATTCGTCAAATATATTAAATTTTTTGACACTATTCTAATTTTACTGTATAGAGAATTTGTTCATTCTCAAAAAAAGAATTATTTATCTGAAAGGTTTAATGTAATACGTTTGGTTTAATGTTTTATTGATCAGTTTATTTCCGATCGAATTATCCATGAAATTGAAATCACAACTGTCGAGAAATTATTTTTGCAAGTAAAACAATTAGTTTGTAAATCTATTCCATCTTGTTAAACTATAAATTTCTTTCAACTTACTTTCATTACTATTAATTATATGTCAATTATATAGCACTTAAGATTGACGAAGTTTTTGTTTATAACAACACAATGCATTACATTATTATAATGTTTAAATTATCAAGTTCGAATACTATTTTTCTATTTGCACTAATTAAGTCATTGAACATGATTCGTATAATATTTTGTACAAAAGGGAGAGTATAATCAAAAATCACTGTTTTTGACTACTGACCTCCTTCAATTTTGTTTTCATCAACTTCCTCCCCTACTTCTGGATGTCCGACTTTAAAATTTTAAAATGCTCAAAATAAGTGAAGAATTCTTCGAACGTCTTTATGTGTTTGACTCCTTATGTTCCTTTGCTCGGCTTTGACTCATTTCACGTTCTTCCGGATGTCCTTTACAGATAACTTTCACTGCAATTTTCTTGTAACGGACACTCTTTTCTTTTAGTTTGACTATTAACTGCAACACGATCAATTGAAGGAAATAATAATTCAACGTTTTTTTTTTCTCGTTTAGTTGGAATCGAACCAATAATTCAACCGCATCGAAAAGCAGTGGAACACTTAACTGTTCATCTTTGTAAAACATCTATTCATTCTTCGATTTCGTATAAAAGAATATTTCAATGTTTAAAAAAGAAATGAAAATAAACAAAAACTTTATTTTAGGTATGATGAGAAAATAATGTATCATTGTGGTGAATCCATGTTAATCTATGAATGGACTCCATATTCATCGGCATCTCCTTTTCGTATATCTACTGGTAAAAAAAATGATTTCATAGAAATCTAATTTTTTTATTTTGAATAGGTTCTGGCTTTAATTTAACGAAATTTAAATCAATTGTACTTACAGTTATTTATAGAAAAGAAAAACAAATACACAAAGAGCAATCAGGTGTTAGACTATACATATCAATTCAATCGTAAGTTATTTTGTTTTTTAATCCCGATGTATTATTTAACAGAAAAGATTAGGACTTCCTCATAATAAGTATGTACATGTAGAGATGATTACTGATCAAACAATAATTTCTTTTTGCATCAAATTTTCATTTATAAGAAAAGAAAAGCAACTCAACACCAAATGAAACTATACATTTTCGGAAGCAGCATAGTATAGATTGAAAAGTCTATAAATAAAACTAAAAACCTTCATTTTATTCCTATAAATTATCTAAATAGTTCTATAATGGAGAAAAATATTATAAATCTCAGATTTTAGAAAGAAAGACTTATTTCTCAAATAAAACCAAATTCTTATTTTTCTCTTTATAAAATCAGAATAAATCAATTCGATCGAGTTGACTAATAAGACAGTGAAGAAATCCGATTGACGACTTTTATATGTTAAGAAGACTCAATAGTAATCATTTAGCAAAGATTCATTGCACACTAATCGATCATCCGTTACACATTGAAAGTCGCCCACAAAGTCCATTCAGGTAAAAATTACATCTTTTTGACAGACCTCACTTTTACTTGAATGTCCATATTCCAAAATTTTTTACAAAGAATCCATTCGCTGAAATAAACTAATGTGTTTCTTTTGCATAAAACGACTGATAAACTTGATTGATTCGTGAATAATGCGCCATAAAGTTTTAAGAAATTATCCTGTTGAAAATGCTTAAAAAACACGAATAAAAAAACATAGTCAGTATTCGAATGTCCAGATGCATCAGACACAAGGAGGAAAAACAGCGAGTTTCAAGACTTCAGAAGATTTTAATACTGAAATCTCTAATATTTGCCTCCAGCTTTAGTCTAACCTCCTCTCAATTTTCTGGACGCTCTTTACAGATGGCCGCCTGCCGCTATTGAATTTCAAACGCTTGGTGCTTAAGTGGGCACAGCAAGTGTTGTTCTCTCCACAAACTAATTGACAGATTCTAATATTCTAAGTAAAATTAGATGTATGAAACATTTCTTTTTTTTTTTCGAAGGCTAAGATATCAAATGAGTACCATATTAGTTGGTGATCAAGAAACAGGAACACGTAACTATATGATAAAGAATTTGTATTATATCTAATAAAATCTTTTTTTTTTGCTTTAAGATTTTTCTTGTCGTTCATCAAATGTTCCGCGTTTATTATATGGAGTAAAAAAATTAAATTCCAATGAATATAATATGTGGTGGCGTATGTATGTTATTCGTGTTCGTCAATTTCGACGAAAATTAATTCAATTAGTATGTGATTCAAGAACATTATCAAATATAAATCAAAGTGCTATTGAAATATTATCGCCCGATCTTTTTCTTATGAAAGATGATTATTTATTAATTGAATGTGAAAATACTCCACAAGCTAGTTGTTATTTTCTTATTTATTATACCTATAAATCAAACTTAATTAAAAATGACAATATTTGTCAAAAAAATGATTTTTTTGATTTATTCAAGTTTGTTATATTATTTTATTTTTGTATGTTTAATTTATGTATTTTAAATTCTATATAGACTTCTACCATCAAGAGATAAGCTCAATACAAATCAAAGTACAATGAAAAAATCGAGTATTCATGGATCAACAAGTAATGCGATTGATATTAAAAGAAAACATCTTCGATTGTTGTATTATTTTTTCTCTTTTTTTTTTCAGTATTCTTGTTAATATTTATATTATTATTAATCATTTGGATATCAATTATAATTGGTTGTATTATAATGCGTAAGTATTTTATATGTAATAGATTATTAATTGTATCATTATATTATTATAAGGACGTATACGTGGATTAGTCAATTTTCGTACGGAACCAGCATTTCCATTTTCATCGCAAAAATATAATTCAACAAGTGGAGCTCGAGGTGGGAATGATAATTATCAACAACGAACAGGTGATGCAGATCAAATTATGCAAATAGATGTTGAACAAGCTGGTCTTGCTAGTTGATAATTCGTATTGAATTTGTTTTTATGTTGATTTTCTTTTCGTTTTTGATAGAAAGTAGAAATAAAGATTTTTTTTCTCTCGGTTGTTATGCTTTAAAAGAAATCAAATATTAATCTTTCTTTCTATTTGATGTTTGATTTTAAATATTAATCTATATAAAATCAATTATGAATGTATTGCTTGATTCAATTAGTTTTGTCTGTTTCTTTTTTTAATGTATTGTATCTTTATGAAAGATTCAATATTTTTATTTTTATTTTTTATATTATTAAATATAGAGTATTGATTTTTCTATTTAGTGAGGAAAGTCTCTTAACTGATTACTGGTTTTTAAGTTGGGACTATGTGTCTCGTCTAGATTCAAACGAGTTTTGAATATATCTGAAAACAGTGCAGATTCTTACATCATTTTCGACCTGAAACTTTGTATAAAAACTCTCGTTAACGAGAATTGTTTATTGTGAAAGTGTCAGATATTTTTATGGTTCTTATCCCAAGATACAGCCATGACAAAAGTGTATCATGAACGTGCATTGCTTATATACAACCGCAGATTCGATGTCTTTATTTCATAAGAACAATAGATCAAATGGCCTGATATTGTCACGATTAACTATTCTCGTCAAGTATTGTTTCAGGACAGAATTCGGAAATCAATTTTCTCATTAAAAAAATTATCATAAATTTGCAGTACCTGAACAGCAAATAAGCTAAGGGCCTAAACTGTTTTCAGAGTATTTATAGTTCATTTGGTTCTACATAATGTACGTAGTCTCAACTCAAAAGTGATTTGTCAGTTGAGGAACTTTTCTCGTAGACATAAATATTGCGTTCATAGACATTTTTTATTAAGAACTATATCTGATAAAAAGAATATATTTCGATAGAAAATATTAAGCAATGTTTTATCCAGCGTGCAGACATTCTTAGTTTACCATTCATCCTTTGAGTTTGATGTATACCGAATACAAAAGGATAATTAGGTATCATAGAACAAGAATCAATAGAGATTAGTCCATGAACATTGAATCTGTCTGCAGTCGACCAGACTGAACTGATGTATACCTTTCTCGAAGCTTGTGACTATTGTACTAGATACTATGTGTTCATGCTCCCAAAAATAGGTCTTTACTTTCCCGTTCATGTGATAAGTACTGAGAAAGCATTGCCGGTTTATTTTTGAAAGTGCTGTATCATGGTATATTGTATCAAAACTGGTGAATATTTGTGAAGTCTATTCAAACTGATAGAATAGAATCGTTTTTTATGCATATTGATTATGTTGATGTGTCTGAGCCGCTTGGTTAAATGAATAGAAAGCCTTCTCTACAATCGTTTATAGTTGGAACCGAAAGTCGTAAGCGCTACCATTGGCAAATCATCGGTATACTCGTGTTAGTGTAAACACGCGTGCGATATAAGAAAACTTTAAATTGATCGTTCCAGAAGAAAAAATCCAAATAAAATGCTGATATTAATAGTAAAAAAATATATTATATAGAAAATATCCCGAGAGTAAGGGAGAAAAGCTTGTTACCTAGCTCCTTTGGGACTGAAATGTGAAACTCACATGTTCTTCAGCTTCTTTATATTAATACGAAATACAGAAGGTGTAAAATCAAGAATTTTTTATTTTCTGACGGGTGCCCTTTTTTTTTTCATTGTTATAGTTGCTATTCGCTTGTTTTTCATTTTCATAATTATTTTTTCTTAATTCAACATTTTTAATATTATAAGCATTGAATTAAATGGGAAATAGGACTGTTATGTATATCCATTATTTAATGCTAGTTGCTAAGGTCTGTAACGGGGACCTGCGTTGCTAAGTGTATGTAATGTGGAGAGGGGGGAGGGCGCAAAAACTCGAACTTAAAACTTACACTCACTATTTTCTTCGAAAATATATGCGAGTTCCACAATATACCTATTAAAGATCATGATACAAGGGATTCGCCTTGTATGACCTCTAGTGGGCTGTATTCTTTTTATTCGTCGTTTTTTTCCTGCCAATAATCGAAATAAAGAATAAATTGTTAGACCCCAATCACACCGACTTAAATTCAAAGTGAATACACTAATGTAATTAGCGTTGTTACGTAGAAGCACCAATCATGTTTCTTAATTCACTTTGAATTAAGTCAGTGTGATTGGTATCTTACTAATTACTAACTGCATTTATTCTACAACATTTAAGACACTCACGCAAGACGCGTCAAGCATCTATATTGCATTTATTTAGCTGGAATATCTAAAATCGGTTCTTCGTTGACACTTGACATGTTTAACTGGGACACTTGATCGGTCTTTTTGCTTGGTAGATGTCTAGCTGCGACATCTCAAGTGTCAACGGATGACCGATTTTAGACACTCTATTGAAACAAGACAAATGAATCACGTAGGAAGAAGTTTAATATTTTTAGAGTGTTCGTGAATTCTTATCAACGATGGCGTTTTCTACGAAGAAAATGAAAACATCAATGCATACAGAACAAAATACAGATATAAATATTATAATACAGAATTGTAAGAAGCGTAACCTTGAAAATAACCAAAATAAGTACGATCAATTATATGACAAATATTGAAATCATGTTTTATTTTTCAAAACTTTTTATATAGTTGTGTGTTGATTATAACTGGTTCTCTTAATCCAATACATTGTTCACATATAAAAACTCTTCAACTTGTTCGAAAGTATCTTGAATCTCATAAATCAAGACAATTGAATGTTCTCGCTGCTTATTTATCACCAACACAGTATGTTTTATATGTTAATTTAGAATATATAGAGAGAGTGTCCGAAAATTCTCTTTCTGTAAGTTGTTTTGTTTATCTTTACTATTTAATTTAACTGTATCAACTTCATTTTTTAAATGATAGATGAATATACTGAGTTCTTATCTATATAAGCACTCTTCAAAGCTATGACTTCTAAGTGAAATAGAAAGGTTTAGCCATTTTTCTATATGTTAAAAGACATAATACGATGATTATTATTTTAATTGCTTTAGTTTTTTCGATGTTATTAACATAGTCACCCTCTAAATTGATTAATAAATATAGCTGCCGTATTTAAACTTAAAATAATCGGTGTATCGCTTCGAAGTTGTAATGCACTCAGCAAAAATTACTGTGAGATGTGTCCTGTGAAGAGGACTGAAAATTGGGTCACTTTTCTTTAATGGTTTCAACGATTGATCAAGAATATAACTTTGATATGCTCCAAAACTTCTGTTACCTGATTTAATATAAAAAACAGACTGCTAAAAAATGCTTGTCCAGCAACATAGAGTATCAAGACACTGTTCTAAGACAATTCGGTACCGTGCGACCGATAAGTTTGATGAATATCTAGTTTGAAGAGATGCATCGAGCTCATGAGCTTTAAGGTCCCTAGAATCGATACTCTTGGATTTTTTTTATGGGAATAAATTAATACAAACGTCTATAAAACGACAAGTAAAGATCTATACAATTTAAAGATTACAATGATTGAAGAAATCGGAGTAATCAAGAATGAACAGTTGTCTAATGTTTTTCTACATATAGAAAAAAAAAGAGTTAAATTTTTTCATTTCAGTTAGGGATAAAAGATTTGAAAGAGATGTTTCTAAAGTTTTCTCGTTTGATTAATAACTCGGTATATGAACCTATCATTAAAAAAATAAACTTAGCTTATAAAGTTGAATCGAATAGTAAAGACAAACTGAAAAACTTTTGAAACACCTTGCATTTATACAATGGATATTAAAATGATTCAACAAGGTTGATTTTCAATTTTTTTTTCTGTTGACCTAAGCACCACAAAGAATCTAAATAGTAATTCCAGCAGAAAAAATTCTTTGCAATAAGAAAATAAAAATTATAATCAAATTTCGAAAGATAGTCTCTTTCAGAAAGTCAAAACTCTAATTTTTCCTCACCGAGTTCTCTACGATGTTTTTTTAGATGAGAGACAACAATTTAATTGAACGTCTGAAAATTCTACTTACATTGAATATATTAAAAAAGGTCGTAGAGAATTCGAAGGTAAATCATTTTGTCGATAAGTGTTTGCTCTACCATTTTATGTGATCTACAAAAAAATTTCATTTATGCATTGTACGTGCTGAAAAACCTAGGGAGCTTTGTTTTTTTTTCGAGACCGTATCTTAGAAAATCTGACAATAATTTTTATTTTCTTGTTGCAAAGAATGTTTTATGCTAGAGTTACTATTTGAATTCTTTGCAATAGAAAAAAAAAATTGAAAATAAATTATTTTGAATAATTTTGGTGTAAACTGTATAATTTTAAATGTTAATTTTTTTGAAAAAAGTGATTCGTATGTTCGCGATAAATTGGGTCGTTCGGATTGGATTACAGCTGCTGATCGATGTAAACTTTGTGAAGATGTTATCGGATCGGATGAAAATATAAAATCTTGGATTTCTGTAGCTAAAGGTGAATGTAATTCCAATGAATTCGTTGATTTTGATGAAGTAACTTTAAATTTGGCTGATTTTCTCAATTCTGAACTATACGAATCTGAAAAATTGCTCAAACATCCATTAAAAGTTGTTTATGTATGTGGTTTGGATCATTTTAATAAATGTCCTTATGTTAGACAATTGGCAACAAAAGAAAATGTAGCTTGTGCTGTTCTATATCGTCCTGGTGCTTCTGATAGTTTGATAAAAAGTTTAGAAACAAAATCACCAAATTTATATTATATTGCATTAGATGACGAACGTGAAACACTTGTTAATATTAGTTCAACAGTAATTCGACAACATTACAATTCAGCTAAGATAGATCTTACTCAATTTACTTATCCATGTGTTATTCAATTTTTAGAAGACAAATATAATGGAAAATAATTTTTCTTATTTTAAAATATATTAGATACAGACATTTTTTTTTTTCTTATTAAAAGATCGAAATTCTTCTCTCGATCATAGACGAAAATTCATTTAAAAAAACTATTTTATTTGACTTTACTGAGTTGAGTATTTACAAAAAAATAAATGTTTCAATGCTGGATTCGATAATTTTTAAAACAAAATTATCTATTTTATATTAATCATGTTTTTTTGAATATTGTTGATAGCACGTTGAATTTTCTCAATATCTTCTGTTTCATTTTCAAATTGTTTTCGTACTGTTAATGCTTGTTCTAATAAATCAAGTGCTGCTTGATTTTCTCTATGAACTGTATGTATAATAGCAAGATTAAATGCATAGTCTGCCCAATCAAGTATATTATTTGGTATAGAATTCATTGCATGTTTATAATATTCTTGAGCACCATTAAGGTTACTTTGGTTTTGTAATGATAGTGCAATTCGAGCATAATTTCTTGCTGTTTCTATTTGTGAATTTGTTGATGAATCAACTGTACGAGAAGTTAAACTAGGTTTAACTAATTCATCATTATCTATTGAATGTTTACGTTTTTGAACAATACGTCGTATTTGACAACGAATTAAAGCCTTATGTGATAAAAGTATTTGTTCAATTGAATCGTCTTGTGTTCTATCAAATGGTTTTCGTTGTTCACGATTATATTGTAGAACATCAAGTACACTTGGTCGTGTATTATCACCACCATTTATATTAGCATTACATTTATCAAGTAATTTAATAACAAGATTTTCATTTCGACGAGCAACAGCATAATGTAAACATGTATCACCAAAATTATCCTAAAAGAAAAATTTAATTTTATAGAAAACAAAAATACGACTATCTATTTGATTAAAAAGAAAAGCATACTTGTAAATTTGCATCATTAATATTAAGTTCAAGTAAATAATCAAGACATTTGATCGATTCATGATGACAAGCAAGCATAAATACTGTTAAACCTTGTTTTTCTCGTATTGATAAAGCTCGTAAACAACGTTGATGTATAGCATTTGTTTGTTCTTCTGAAAAGATTTTTACTTGAGAATGAATACACATTGTTAAAGCTTTAAGCATTTCAATGTCATCTCGTTCTACTGCATAATGTGCAGCTGTATATCCATCAATATCTTGATAACATGGGTTACATCCAAACATCAACAATAAACGTATCCATGCATATGGATAGTTACGTATCGTTAAAATATGTAAAACAGTCTAAAAATGATTAAAACTATATATGAAAATAATAAAATACAATATCTATTTACTTGTTCATCTTCATTTTTCATTTGAATTATATCTTTATGATGAATATCAAGAGATCGACGAAATGTATCAAATTTTCCATGAAGTAGATAAGAAAATATTTCTGATGGAGAATTTGTTGGTAAATGACATAAAATTGAACCACAAATACTTTTATGATAAGGATCATTAGACGTTGCTGATGTTGATTGAAATACATTATGAACATCAGCTGATTGACAATGTGAAGAATCGATTTCATCAGACATGAGACAGCCTATAATACAACAATATAAACAAATAATAATGGTTCGGTTTTTATAGATATATATATATGAAGCAAAAATGCATTCTAATCTATCATAAGATTATTATAATTTATTCGAACGTTAAGAGCAGAAAATTAGCATACTTTATATAATTAGAAACTTGCTTGTCAGTTAGTATGACGTTGCAAAAAAAACCAATGTAACGTATATATTTCATTTTTATATTGATGAATGTCGAAAAAAGGAAGTAGTCTACACAGGTATGTTTTTTGTCTCTTCATTCGGGTATTACCCCAAACGACGCATTGTAAAAATTTTTAAAAAGCGACATGAAATATCATGAGACCTGATAAATAAATATAGGAGAACAAATATCGCTGCTTTTTTTTTTAACTAATAAAAAATAACAAAAGAAGATATTTTAGTACATTATATGCTACTATACGCGACAGTCGTAATTCTCTTCATTGGTTGTCGATTTCTTTTTTTCTAATGTGAAATTGTCGACATGTCTGTTTTGTTTTTGTTTTGTTCTTTTACTTTTCTGAATAGTCGCAATTCTTCTCTTCAGCACACTTAAGGTATGACCCAAAACGGAAGAACAGCAAGTAGACTTGTCTGTAAATATCAATAGGTGATGGTGTAATTTTTTTCTGTGAAAATTGTCATAAATATTTCCTTTTATTCTTCCTGACTGAAGACAGAAAAAAAAATCAATGACGAAAAAACATGATACATTATCGACAAGCGTTCGATCAGAGGATTAAAAGTACAACTAGAATAAGAATGACTAAATGCGCACTTTAATAAAAAAAAATCTATATTAAATATGACTATAAATAGAAATATACCGTTTAAATTCCATGAATGACGTAAATTATTATTATTCTATGTTCTTTTTAGTCTATCAAATACATTTTTATTGCACACTTAAAACCTATAGAAAACAGATATTATTATCAAGTGAGAGAAAGATCGAGTGTATCTTCAGTAGCAGTCTTTGTATGTCTTTTTATTGATTGATTTATTGTATGAATAGTTTGTTTTGGTTTTGATTCTTTAAATGATGATGATTGATTAGAAGATATGAGAGAAAGATCAAGTGGTTGTAAATTATTATTTGCTTGTCGTAATAATTCTAAATCTTGTTCAATTATTTTTCTATTTATACGTGTATTGGGTCGATTTAATGGTAATGTAAGAGAATAACGTTTTTTTGATGAAGAAAATTTTCGACGTTGAATACAATCTTTTTTAATCGTATTTTGAATAGTTTGTTTTCTTGATATTTGAGCTCGAGTTGTAATAGTTGATTTATGAATTGAATTTATTAATGAACTACTATCACATTCATCACCTTCATCAATAGATGGTTCATCTTAATTAAAAAAAAAATTAAAAAATAAAACATTTTCAAATAGTTTTTTTTGTTTTTTTACTATATTCAGTTGATTTAGTTCTTTTCGTCATTGAATTATTTTGTTGTTCTATTGGATTTAAATACATGTGATCGACACTTGGACATGGAGTAATAATAGTTAATCTTGACAAACAAAGACTTTAGTGATTGTTAATCTTTCTTTTTTTAATTAAATGTTACTTTTTATTTAATGTTGATGAGTTTGATTCGATATCTGAATGTACTTTATTTCGTTTAGTTAATTTTGTTATCCATGTTGAAGATGATACGAAGTGACATGTTTCATTATTATCTAAATAAACATCTTAATTCAAAAATAATATTGTGCATATTTCTTACCTTGTACAGACAGACGATGGCTGGATGATGATGTAGAACAAGGTCGTTTGTGTCCTTTTAAATATAGATTAAATAATTAAAGATATCTCATATCTTAATGATAAACAAAATTTGATATATTTTATAATCTATTAAACGTATGTCAAAAAAATAAAATTTTGAAATTTCTTTTGATTCAAAACTGAAATCAAATGTCTTTTTGAATATTCGAATTTTATAGAAATAAATAAGTGAAAAATATATTTTGTATATTTAAATAATTAAATATACTGTGAGTTATAAAACAATATGATTAAGTAAATAACAAATAGAGCTAGCAAAGTTAGATATTTTTAGAATCGAGGAATATTATATTTGTCCTTTTTTCGCTTTCTGTTTATTTTTTTTTTATAAAGAACGTTAAAAACAAGTTATTTATCACACGGTATATACTTTCGAGTTTTTTATACCTGGAAAAAAAGAAAACATAAGAACAATATTACATAAAATAAAATGACACAATTACAAGAAAATAAATGCAGGTCAGAAATATTCTATATAATCTGCTATTAAAACTTAGTAGTGATTCTCATAGAGTCAGAATTATGGATGAGAAGAATTCTATTAAAATTCGATTTTTTTTTTTTTCTAAAACTTGATTATCGATCAGAATAGAATCTAAAGCTCAATCGAATAAAACTTATCTAGGTCATGAGAAAATAGATTTACCATCACAGATGAAATTAAAGTCGAAAATTTCGACAAACCATCTATGCATTCGAATTCACTGATGCGTTTAAACTTTTAGTCAAGTTTTAGAAAAAAAAAAAAAAAAAAAAACTTCTTTCCTTAATCTAACGAGTCAATTTTGAATAGTATTCGTTTCACCTCTATCTATAACCTCAATTTCTATGTTATTCTCCAAGACTCTATGTGCACTATCCCAACACCTAATAGGAATGTGCAATATCAACGTGTAAATACTCAACAGTAAGTCATTGACAATGGACCCACTGTGAAAAATGATTACACTGGCATCAATGTTCACTGAAGCACTGATATTCAATATTCAGACATCAACTCTTTCAAAATATATTCTTTTTGTAGCAATATCTTCCGATGCTTCAAAGAACACGGCAGCCAAGTGTGTACTAACTAAATAGAGTCGATGATCAATAAAGTCTAACTACACATTTCTGACATCTCATCACTTTTTTTATTACCTTTAAGCATAATTTCAAGCATTTACCTTCTTACATAATTACTATACACTTATAAAAAAAAATAAGAACAATAAAATTAACTGTTATCTTTTTATGCCGTTCGACAACACAGTAAAAAAAAACATAATCTTTTATAAACGAAAAAAAAAAATACTAAACTTAAAACTGTTTACAAACGAAAATTAATTATTAACAATTTAAATTAATGTCTTATTGCAGTTTAAATATGTTAAAATAAAAATATTAGTTTTTGCAAAACGGTCTCATGAAAAGATCACTTTGAGAAAATACACGTTCAACTAATGCTGATATTGCAGAAACATACATGTTTTTTTCTTGCAAGCTTATTAAGAGATTGACATGAATTTTCTTTTTGAAAACAAGAATAACTGATTCAAAGTCACTATAAGTTTTTGAGTACAGAACGAAATATATTTAGGCTTGTAGAGAAAGATGTCTACTATCGAATATGACTGAACTCTCAGTCTTTCAGAATGTGAACCTAATTCAATTATTAGTTGTCATATTGTTTTTTATATATTCAATAAAACTTTAATGAATTTCAGGTCAAATTGTAAATTCATTTGAATTGTTAAATATCAACTATTTATATTTCTTTGTCGATCATACTTTCAAGACATCCTGTATTTTACCTTAAGATTTTCGTGATCTAGATATTATCAATAAACATTATAAAATCATCGTATATTTCATGAAACACAAGTATTGAAGTATAGGAATAAACATTTTCGAACCCTACACAAGAATCCAGTGAAATCGTACTTTGATATTCGTAATGAATCTACACATTTTTCGGGTGACTAGAGTCTAGTGGGTCCAAAATGAACCCAACAAGTTCCATTTCACACATGATAACAGACATAACCATGAAAACATCGTCAATCTTAGATGACTAACGTCTCATGATAATATATAAATTACTTCCTCGTTACATTTTTGTGAAGAATTTAGTAAAAGGAAAGTAATAAAAATCTGTCTCAAAATAAATATCATAAGACAATCTTTATGTAATTGATAAGAGTAACTATATCATGTTTCACATTTTAATCTCTCATGGATTATGTTAACAGCTGTCTTTACCTGAAATTTGTGTATATTGATGTTTATCAATATTATTTGAATCTGTTTCATCTTCAAATTCATTATCTGTTTTTTCTTCACAAAGTCGTTCATAAAGACGAGGAAGTACTAAATATATAAAAAAAAAAAAAAAAACCTTGTTTTTTGAAGAGAAAAACAAAAATTTCTTTTCTTATTACCTTTCGTTTTCACAGTTGATTTAGGTGCAAAATTATTAATAATTGATTCGGAAAAATCATTTTTATCTCTATATAATTAAACGAGAAAAAACAAAAAGTAGAAAACTAATAAACAAATATCATAACATACAAAAGTATTTGTTTTTCATCATTTTGATTTGTCGATATTGTTCTAATGAAATAAGATTTCTTCGATATAAAATACAAAAATAAATTTCTTCTCTTACTTATTCGTTTGTAATGATAATCGAGTTAAATAAGCTCTTGTTAATAATGGTCGATAATATGGATCAATTGTCCATACAGAACGTGATTTAAGTATATAATGTTTAGTTTTAACAAAACATGGAATATTTATTAATGTTTGTTTTAATAAATCTTTCCATCCACGTTTATTTGTTATTTGTTTTATATTATTTTGTATATATTCATATAATTGTTTTATAGTTAATAACCATGATGTTTGTTTATCATAACGTTTAGAATATAAAGCAAGAAATATAAGAACACCAAATGATAAAGAATTTATATTTATATTTTCATCATCATAAAATTTTAAATCATTACATAATTTACTTATTTGATCATCATTTGAATTTATATGTTGAAAAATTTTTTCTTTTAAATTATTATTAATTTTATTATCTTTATATTCTTTTAATTTAAATGTATTTAACCATTTTAATTCAGTTAAATCATCTGAAATAGTTTGTTTTTGTGATGATGATGATGAATTTGATATTGAAGCAAAACAAGAATGACTTAAATATGTTTTTTTATGATTATTTAGATTTTTTGATGAAATTTGAGTATATCTTGATAAAGAACTATGAAATATAGAACTCTCATCATCATCATCATCATCATCATCACTGATACTTGAATTTAAACCGGTTATTTTTGCTGCTTGTGCATGTAAAAATGCAGTAACATCAGATTGACTAGCGACAGTCAATAGACTTGACGAGTCACATTCATCTTCTTCATTTGCCATGATAACTTTATCTTAAAAACAAGATTTCGCAAAAATTAAATTATTATGATTACAAAATAATTTTTGTTTTTTCATTCTCATTCGTAATTCGTACTTATTTGACAGATTAAAAGAACATCAAAAAAAAAAAAAGAAAAATCCCAATGACATATACGTCATTGAGTCCATGATCGACTATAGCGTTACTCTGTTTGAACCCTTTTAATGATAGTAAAATTTATTTATTGATTTTATTTTATATGATTAATGAAATATATATCTTATATGTAAATGCAATAAATTTAATGTTGATCACTTCGATCGATAAGATTTATTTAATGTAAATCGGATATGAATGACATCTAGTGAACATTTTTATGTGTTATAGATCAAATCTATAGTGATGCATGAAAGTTTAGAGTAGTTGTGTTTTTGAGTAACTGAAAGGATTCTCTATCACGATTGATGAACTTAAAAATTCCAATAAAATTGTTTGAATGAAAGTGTCTGAAAAACCAAGATCATCCGAAACCTGTTTTTTAGTATCTATTTGAATCTTTCTGGAAACGAGTTTATTGATAAAGCAAAATGAGATGTGTTTCGGCTCTCTTCATCAACCTACATTTAACTAATAGAAGACTCAAAACTTTAAACGTGATGAAATCATTGAGACATCTCATTTTGCTCTATCAAATAAAATCATTTCCAAAAACATTCAAATTAATACCAGAAAAACTGGTTTTCGAAAGTCTCGATTTTTCAAACATTCTAATCCAAGCAGTTTTATTGGAGTTTCTAAGTTTATCAATCCTAATAAAGAAAACTTTTCTAAATTCATGTCCACGACTATATGTGTCTATAGAAATATATATTCGAAAATTAAGACTGATGTTTCATTAATAATTCCAGTTCAGAACCTTCAAACCGGGTTGTCAGATCTTCTGAAATGGCAGAAAAATTTCCAAACTTTTTTCGAAATTCGAATTTTATGACTTTAATTATAACTTCGAAGTTGACTTTCGCTCCTTTGAATCGAAAGCTTTTCCGTACTAAACTGAACAGACTGTATGATTAAAAGAAACAATTTGAATAAACAATCTCGCTGATATAAGCTGAAATTTAAGTTTAAGAAAGAACTTTTTCACATGACAATTCTAACGTGTTAACTGATTTAGATTCAGTCGTGCATGATAAATTGGAGAACTCGAATACTGGCATAAGTGAGATTGAAGAAGCAGAAAAAACTATGTCACTAACAATTTTCATATTAAATGCTGATAGAATGAAATATATTTCAATACAAAAGACAATGTAGGTATTTAATCGTTAAATAACTCTGACTAGGATACACAGAGTTGGTTCGAGTCTGAAAATCTTCGACTCGATGGCCTTTAACCGTAACCCCTGAAAATGTCAATCGAGATTTTTTTTTTCTTTCGATAAGCATCTATCGATTGAGATAAGAAATTGTGATGCCTTTATTTAAATAGACATATCAATGTTTTATTTGACTCGCTCGATTGCATAGTAGGTCGTGTAATGAGACATGTGAGGAATCAAAATGTGAACGTATACTAGAATCATGCTAAAGAGAAATTTTCCAGATCGAAATTGGTACTACGAGAAAAAAAGCATCACAATCGGAACTAGACCTGATTTGCCAGCATTATGATCGGATCCGAAAAGACTTGATCCTGCACTTCTCTACACTTGATTCGAACACTGATGCAACTGTTTCAACCCATCCATGCCATACACTATTTTGATAGTACGTCAACTTCGTAGTTTTAGTCATACTTTTATAGAAATTAAAATCATACGAATATACATTCTTGCATACATTTGACAAAAAGGTAAGTATTTTCGTTAATTTATTATAATTAACTTTTTTTTTTTCTTTCCAGTTTTTCTCGAAAACTTTTTATGATCTTATCAATAAATTTACTGATAATTGTGATCAAAATTTTGAATGTTGATTTAGATATAATAATAAGAAATTAAAGTAACTTGTTTACATGTCAAATTTTACAGTGACTTTGTATAATACTGAACAATCGTTTATATTCACATTTATAGACTTGGTACTAATTAAATGATTTCTTCACTCTACAAAATATAAATGAACAATTGATTTATGAACAAGTATTGGCTATCAGTAAAAACTACTCAGCTACACATTGATTTTTTACTATATCAGTAAGATTAATCAACCTATCGTTTCACAATGATTCACTGTTAAAAAATGAAGTTTTTATCATTAGTGTAGTTTTATACAATCTATAAAAATATTTAAAGAAAACACCATGGTACCAATAACTATGGTTTGAACTTCTGTGAAAGAAGAAGGTTGATATAATGATTTTTTTAGTAGTACTGAAAAAGTTCAATGTCTAGTTATATTATCTCATATATTCACAGCCAAAAAAAACTAATGAGGTGTAACCCATAGAGAAGGCACCATTGCTTCTTCCTATTTCTTGAAAATTCTTTCAATCGAAACGAATCAGCTATTTGCCCATCATTCATTCCTATTGGAATACAGTCAATTCATATATGATTATTCAAGACAACCAATCATACTATCTTATACCTATTTTACCCGTATTAAGAGTGTCAAAAAAACTCGTTGTACACAACATAAGATGAATTCTTACATCGTTATCTGTTATATCAAAAGATAGGATATCTATTTTTTTTTTTAATTTTATCTTTTTAATTTCTGAACACAACATATACAAACGAAGAATACAGTAAAGAAAAAAAAAATGAACAAATCAAAACAACAACTTCTTTTTTGTATTTTTTTTTTTTGGTTTAATATGCTAACTACCATTGATCATGATATATATATATATATACATAGATATTTAGACAAAAGAAAAAATGATTTTCCCTATTTTCCACCTTGTTTATATTGAGCAATTTCTCGATCATATCTTTCTTTTTCTTGTCGAGCTCTTTCTTCATAGTGACGTTTTTTATCATCACCAATTGCACGCCATCGTTCACCAATAACTTTAGCAATGTCCGAAACAGACAATGCTGGATTTTCTTTTTTTATTTTCGGTCGTTCATCTTGTGAAAATAAGAAAAATGTTGATAATGGACGCTTTGGTGCATTTGGATCTTTTTGTGATTTTGGAGCTCGTGGCATTTCTAAGAAAAAACAAATATTTTTATTTAATTTTATTTATTTAATTTTTGAATTACATACTTTTTAAGTAGATGTCGTATGTTATATATGTGTATATGTCAGTTAGTTTGAGTTGAATATGAATAGAATCAGTGAACGCGAATAGCTTACTTCTCTATCGTCGTCGGTTGCTCGTTGTGTATGTGTGTGTGAGAGTAAGCAAGTAGGGTAGACATACAGACATTTTATTCTCTTTCTGACGTTAAAGAGACAAAGGGAGAGAGAAGAAGAAGAAGAAGAAAAAAAATTCTTCTTAGCTTACTTGCCATACACACAAACGTACAACGGGCAACGTTCATTGTGTGTAGACAGAAGTGTGTATAGGGCAAGCGCTAAAGCAGTAGTCGACTCGATTTTCCTTTTCATTGCACGACGAGAGAACATAGCACAAAGACGAGAACGACAGCAAGAGAGGGAAAGAGAGAAAAAAGGAATATATATAGATGGAAAAGAAGCAACCATTTTCACCGTTGATTATGAAAAATAGAGGAAAAAAAAAAAATCTTTTTGAACATTTTAAAATGAATATTTGTTTTGACTACAATTGAAATAATTAAAATTATTATTTGTAGAATTTGAATAATATCGAAATTGATATTTAATATAATTATATGTTTTAATTTGATTAAATTTTAAAAGCTTTTTTTTTGAATAATCTTTATCAATATTTAAATAAATGACGAATCTAGAATTTGGGCAACGCAAGATAATCATGGTTATAAAATGTGTTTTAAAGTCTATTGAAAATCATATAGGCTCATTTTTGAGAGTTTTCCGTGAAGAAAAATATTTTCGAAGGAAAACGTGATTACTTCTAATTTTAATTAATCATTGCAAGAGTATTCATTTTTCAAGTTATATTGTAGTATTTTATATTCTTTTGTAAACAATATGGTAACACAAAATATTTTTCATATGTTGAAAAGATCGGTTTATCTTCAAACAGTTTGAATATTTGTTTATGTTATTTTGGTTGATAAATTTTTAAAGAATCATTTGCATATATTTTGCATTCAGTTTTTTTTACTATCGAATACATTGATCGAACATTCACATAATAAGCTCAATAATTTAAATACTATATTCATATATTTAATAGAGATGATATCTTCTAGACATAGGACGTTTAAACAGCTAACGAAGATTGAATAACAACTATTAACGTAAGAACTTGGTGATTGAGATGTATAGGATAAGCTTTTTTTTTTCGCGTTCTGTACTTGATCTAACAAAAAAAATGTCTTATTCTTACCTTGACTGAAGTCCGTCGAGTAGGATCTCCGATCGTTCCAATCAGCACTACTCTAAAAGTAAAAGTCAATTATAAGTTGATTCTTATTAGATTACTACCAATCTTGCCTGAGAAATGTATAGGACTTGTTAGTCATTGTATACAAATATTCGCAAAAAGTATCTCACATCTTCGGAGTAATTATTCAATACAGTTTATAAAATTTCATTGAGAACATTAAGACTAAGGTTTGGATGCGAATCCGAAATTTTTATACTCAACTAGTTTTAACCCTGACACTACCTTGTACAGTTGTAATTTGGTGGTTGAAATCAAGTCAATTAGTTGAGATTGAACTGTCATACATGTATTGCCTTTTAGTTTTAATTTTGTTGAAAGTTATAAAAATGTTATGGATGACTCGTTAATAGTATAATTAAATTCGGGATCGAAAAATCACCGTCACTTTATTTGATCGATGATAGAGATATACAGGCTGTCAAGCGCTTTTTTTCCTGTGATAAAATCTCAAGTTCTTTTTTTTTTTTTATAATGACCTTTGGATTTTTATTCTGTAATTGACGAAAAGTGATAATGATAAAAACTGTTTACTCATGATTAATCCAGGAACAAATACGGATAGATTTTTAAATCAGATAATCGAATTTATTTTTACTAAAAACAAAAAAAAAGAAAGTAAAATATTCTTATTAGTTCTATTTGTGGAAACAATCTACTTTATTTCATTTTCATCAATACGATTTTCGTTTAAACGATATAGATTAATTAATTCATTATGACGTTGCTTCTTCTTCTTGTTTTTTTTACACTTTGCGAATCCTCAAGAATCTGATATTCTATCTTCAATGATGATCTTTTTTTTTATATTAAATTAATCTATATACTGTCAGAGTAGGCTATGGCTATAGGTAGAAGACGTGCGAAAGTATGTCTCGCCATTGTATATAAAAGAATAGGATGCGCTCTTATGCTCTCGACTCATTCAATGGATGTTTCAATTCAGTTATGGTCGGACAAGTTGATTGCTGTATGCTTTTTTTCTCCCGTCAGTTTTTTTTTCTTCGTAGATGATAGATCATTTTCGCATTGAACATCATGTACATATTTTTTGGGGCGACGATTATTGCTCAGCGAAAGAGAGAGAGGGGGAAAAAATAGGTGCTCAGCCAGGCAGAACAAAAAAAGAAGAATATGAGAGAAAAGGTCTCGTTCATATGACAAAGAGCGTTTAATGCAATCGACAAACGAGTAGTGAGTATCATTGTTATAAATAAAAAAAGACAAATTTTATTAAGTGAATCTTGAAATGAGATACAACTTTTTATTTCTTTTGAAATAAACAATTTTTTTTTTCTCAATCAAATTAATTCGTTGTGTAATCGAAATTTTTTCACTATACTAAAAACATATAGACATTCATTTCTGAATAACAATATTCACTAACAAATGAGTATTGTAACCACACGTGGAAAAAAACCCTCATCCAACCAATCCGAAATACTATTTTATACTATTGTATTTTACTATTGTATTCATCCGTCATTGTCCTTGTCCATTATTTATAAAATAGAAGCTTGTATATTATATTTTTACCATTTACTGTTTACCTTTATACTTTCAACTCATTCGTCCGTGACATGTCTCTGCTTATTGCATACCTATATATATATTCATTATAATATTCATTCGTTAACATTATAATGAGCCAATAATACACGTAAATCATAGTTTTGCTTATTTTTTTGCTGTTTGATATTTTATAATGGCATCTAAAGATTTCATTGATGTTAATTTGGTAAGTTTGATTATTGAGATAATGACGCGAGAGAGAAAAAAAAGGAGTAATAGATAATGCATATATTAATAGTCATGTGATAGAAAAAAAAAAGCCAATTACATTTTGTTTATGTTGTTTTTTTTTCGTCATTTTAGAATTGCTTTTATTCAATACAAATGAATAATGAACGTGAAGAAGACGATGAAATTGATTTAACAGTAAATTAAATTGTTTCTTTTTTTTTTGTTTATTGATAAAAAAATTTTTTTTTCTTTTTTTTTTAAGATTATTCAACATACATCATCCATGGATTCACTTGAACAAAATGAATCAAATATTCAAAATCTTCGTTTTATTAGTGGTTGTCACAAATGGATAAATACAAATAATAATAATAATATTCGTGTAGAAAAATCATATATGATTAATAATGATAATGAAAATTTAATTCATGAAAAAACATTTTCAATAAATAATAAAAATATAAATGATATTGAAGATGATGAAAATACTTGTAATTCGAATCAAACGGATTTATCACTTAATCATTTTGATGTACAATTACAAGTTACCAATGGTCAACTTGAACAAGCAACTCGTTATGGAGTTTTTTCATCATTATTATCCAAAGATTTAAGTTTAGTTAAATTAGATCAATATTCACAAACAATTGAACCTGAAATGGATATGGATAATAGAGATGGAAATAATAATTATTATACGAAACAATATAATGGAAATGGAAATGAAAATGGAAATACTAATAATAATTATAATAACAATAATAATGATGGTTCATATCGAAGAAATCAGCAAACAAATGGATCATCAGGAAATGGTGGAAATGGAAATGGTTCAAATCCAAATCGAAATAATAATAATAATCCAAGACGGTAAATATATACTTATAGTGAAAAAAAAACTAAGTTTATTTTTTCCAATTATTATCAAATAGAAATGTACTAATTTTTTTTTTTTCGTTTATTAAGAGATTTCGTCATAACATTTACTTTCAGGACCTTATTTGACGAATCTATAGAGTATCGAAACATGAGGAAAATCTGAGAAATCACTTAAAAAAAAAACTTTTCCCCCAGGTATATCGTATCTAACTCCGTCACTTTTTATCTATTTTTTTTTCGAGCGATATTTCATTCGAAAGAGCTTATCTAACTGAACAAATGTATATCTGTTGAGATTTCCAAAAGTGGAGTCTTCATTCATATGGAAAACTCAAATTTTTCAGACGCGGTTTTTCATGACGAATCGTTTCTTTGAAGCTTTAGAGGGCGAATAGAAAAAAACCTAGTATAGTACATCTTGTAGAGAATTTCTTGCTCCACAAAATCCATATAAAAAGTTTGAGAACAAAGTTTTAGCTCAGGTCAAGATTTTGGAACAAAAAGAGAGCAATACTATGTCTCGGTATGGGAAAAGCAAAAAAAATTGGTCATTTAACCATTAAATGTTTAATTTCAAGCAAAATCCATGTCATATTCGACTTCAGCATCCAAAACTGTGTTCAGACATCATAGGTTTCGTTGAAAATAATTTTCCGACAACAAGTCACATGACGGGAAGTAAGGATGAATTATGCCGAAAAATTGTTTTCAACGAAACCTATGTTGTCTGCAGTGGCGCAGCCAGAAATTTTTTTCGGAGGGGGACCATCATAGAGAAAAAGTGTTTTTTTGCTTCTGAAAACGAATATGTCTATACCCCCTCCAGCAATTTAAATCTTCCAGGGGGGGATTGGTCCCCCTAATCCTCTCTCTGGCTTCGTCACTGGTTGTCTGACACAGTTTTTGATGCTAAAACCGAATATGACATGAATTTTGCTTGAAAATGAATGTTTAATGGTGGTTAAATGATCGGTTTTTTTCGTTTGTCCCAAATCTAGACATATCACCTTTCTTTTTGCTTTCTAAAATTTCTACCTGTGCTAAAACTTTTCTTTCAAATTGTTTATATGAGTTTTGTAGAGCACGAAATTCTGTACAAGACGTACTGTATTGAATAAGTCATGTTTTCTTGTGCAGACTCCACTTTTAGAAATCTTAAAAGAGACATTTTTGTTCTGCTTGATGGGCCCTTTCGAATAAGATGTCGTTCGAAAAATAAAACGGATAAAAAGTGACCAAGTTAGACACGAAATACCGGAGAAGAATTTTTTATGTAATTTCTCAGGCTTTCTTCATGTTTCGACATCTATAGTTTCGTCAAAAAAAAAATCGAGCGTCTAAAATTTTTTTTGATATCCTCAGTTTTGTGCAAGATATCAAATCAAATTAAAAAAACTGCATGCTAATTTCAACCATGTTATGACAATTATTAATGGGCTGGCGTAACCTTTCTCAAGAATGTAGGCCCTGTGAATTGTTTATATAAACCACAATCAGTGTTCTCTTGAAAGATACGAAACTTTAGTCGAAATTTAGAAAATATTTCCTAATTGATCTAGAATTCGCATTTTTTTTAGGTTTTTTGATAAATTCCAACTGATTTCGAGACAATTGTTTTGCATAAGACGAAAGCTAAGAATAGCTTGGAAAAGATCATTCACAACTGACATGACGAATCGCTAGGAGTTCGATAATTCTCAATACAGCAAATATTCTAAACTTCTATTAGAAATTCAAGGAATTGATTTATCCTTGATTTATAAAAACACATACTCAGTATTTTGAATTATCGAACTCATGGTAATTCTTCATGCTAGTTGTGAGTGCACTTTTCAAAGCTCTGCTTAGGTTTCGTCTATTGGAAGACACAGTTCTCAAAATTAGTTGGAATTGGTCAAAAAAAAAATGTGAATCTTTTATCAATGTTGACTACAACTTTAATAGAGAAGAACAACTTTTTGCCATCGTTTATTAATTGCGATTTGAGTATATTTTGCATGAGCTCTTTTTAAGGAACATCCCTACTCTCATTTACGGCACTTTTGGAGAAAAAAGCTCATTAGAAAATTGAGAAACTTTCCGAGTAGAGAGATCTTAATGAGTAGAGCAAACTTTGTCATTGATTCTTTTTTAAACAAAGGTCTTCTTTGTAAATTCTGGAAAAACCAGCGGTATATTATATTATGAAACAAAAAGACGTAAGCATCCTAAATGCTTTCTAGTAAAATTAAAAGAAAGTTTCAGCTCAATTGGATGTAGTACCGTTGAGAAATGAGAATGATTTTCAACCTTTTCTTTCTTTTAAAAAAAAATTCATTGTTCACAAACAATGATACAATGTACAAGTTTTGATGTTTTTCAGAGAAAGTCTTCCATTGTGTTTGCTTTTTATAGTTATATATTAATTCATGAAATATGTTCACTAGATAGAACATAGTTCAAAATATATATAAAGCAGAAAAAAAACATAGACAAAGTACTATATAAGTTTTTGCTCGAGAGAGGAAGGAGTGCGCTTAGATTGTCAGAAAGATTTCTAAAATGCAACGATATATATCATAGAATCTTCCTAAGTTTTCTTTGAAAAATATAACAATATCTTTCTACTCTGAATACTGAATGACGACATCAGACATAAGATTCAGCACGATCATATAAGGTCAGATAAGTTTAATCATTAAGAGAATACACATTGTCTAGTATTAGGAATCTTTTACGATTATACAAGATTAGAAGCGAAAGTTCGTCGAAAAATGAACTTCTATGGATATTGCTCGATTTATTCTAGAATTGAAAGCTTCGAAGTATAAAATAAGTTGATTTTATTTCAATACCAAACATTTAGTTATCTCTTCACACATAAATATACAAATACATAAAAAGATGAAAGTTTCATTGATAACGGCCTTCTCCCATAAAAGAAGTTCATTTTTGTCAAAAAAAAATAATAAAACGAATGCATGCAAAGATAGCTCGAGATCTAATCTTTAATAGAAAACATCATTTTTTATTCGCAAAAATGTTTGATGAATTTTGTCGTTATCTGCTTGAAAAACAAACTGTTTTGTGAAAAAGCGGGAAAAGTTTTTCGTTTTTTCTCTGTTTATACTTTTTGATTCTCACAACCACGAATTCGCTGTAAACCCTCATTCTGCATATTCAACTCCTTTTGTTTTTGAAAGAGCATGTCAATATGCAGTTGAGCATAGATTTCTTTTCTTCAATGAAGTTTTATTTTTGTCATATGTACAAATACTTATATCAATAGGCATGCACTTTTTTGAATCATTGAAATTGTCATATCTTTTCTCCGCTTAAAAAGTAAGAATTTAAAAGAAAGATTTCTGCAGTGTACTACATTTTGAGATGCTCTTCACAACAGGAAACAAAAATCAGATATATAGAATGAGCCAAAGCAGAGACATTTGGTTTGAGAAATGAGCTATTTTTTTACTCTTGTTTGATGAATATCTCTGCCAAACATTATAGTGTCAAGCTGTAAACTTTAGCATAGCGTCTCTATTACAGCCTGAACAATGTCACCAAAATGCAGATAACTTGAATGTATCTAGAGCGAAATCGATTTTTGAAGGAAAGGTTTTAAGTGTACATCGGATAGGACGTAGGTATATAAAACAGCATACCGATATATAATACTAAAGATATCTCAAAACGAAATCATACTTCGAAAGAACAACATGATAAGTCAGTGATGAACTCAGATACAATTAGATAATTGAAAATAAACAACAGTCAATAAAAAATTAATATGAGTTCATACCTATAATGACGTATGTGGAAGTGTTAAAAGGGTCGCTTTGATTGTATTCGCATAAGAGCATAGATATAAAGTTATAGATGTAGGAGTAAAGGGGTAAGAATATAGAGATAAGGATATAGGCACACAAGTAAAGGTACGCATATAGATGTATGTATGTCCAGTTATGTTACGAGAAATAAAAATGTTGACTATGTATGCTTATTCATGGTGTTCTAAGCTATTATATGATATATAAATAAACTACAGTAGTTATTTCAATAATTTCTAAAGAAGAAAATTTTAAGTTGTATAAAATATTGTAAAGAGCTAAGGCAATATAGTGCAATCAGACTTTATGATCTTAGATCATCATACGAGATCATATTGCTGAATCTTAGTGTAATTTTTAATGCAAGATGTCAAAGACGATGATTTTTCGTACGATTTACTTCTGGTTTCTGTAAGATCAGATATATGGTCTTATAGGGTTTTACCATCATTATAAATCCTAAATTTGAGTCCATCATATCCATTCTGATTCCTTTTTCTATAGGATCTATTAAACATGGAAGCTCACATATGAATCTGAAAAAAAATCGGACCTAATTAACTCTAATAGCGACGATTCTAAAGAGGATTGTAAAGGCAAAAAAACAAATAGTTCTTCAGTTGATTTATCAGTTTCCATAACCTCTTTATCAGATCATTCAATATTTTTAAAATTTTATTTTTGCATATGTTTTTATCAACATCTATTACTAGAGTCCGTTGAATGTGCCTCTGAAAATTTTCTGTTGATCGTATCCGGGACTAGTGCCCGGCACCGTGACTTTTCCGTGACTGACTATTTTCGAATTCTCATTATGAAGAAGAGCTTCAATATGGTTTTGGAATTTACATTTTATTCAGCTTTTCTGCCACTACAAAATGGTATATTTAACATAAATTTTCTATGTATCTTGGCTCAGAAAATCGCTGCGTGACCATTTGGTCACGGATAGTCACGGGAAATCTGGTCACGGCGATCATAGAGCGATTTTCTGAGCCATGTTACATGCAAAATATATGTTTAATATACCATCTTGTAGCGGCTGAAAAGCTGAACAAAATGTAGATTCCAAAATCATATTGAAGCTCTTCTTTATAATGGGAGTTCGAAAATAGTCAGTCACGGAAAAGTCACGATGCCGAGCACTATCCGGGACCAATCTTGAGAATCAGTCTCTCAACAATAATAGTGAATTATGACTTGATTATTGGAAGATCATTATCAAGACTATCTAAGAAATATTTCGGATGTGTTAGTAGCAGAGTTCGAAGCGAGTATCCGACTTAGAGTAAATAATTTCGTTAAAATTACGGATATGGTTCGGCTATGGATCCAAAAACATTTCACCCAACGGACTCTATGTATTACGCACTATCTTATGGATATAACATTGAGCGATTCATCGAACTGGATTACATTTTTGATAAAAATCTTCAAGAAAAATATTGTCTAGAAATTAACGAGATTCTCTATGTTAAGACCTCCATCTTCAAAATCGATTTTTGATATAATACATGGAGTTTCCATGAAGTTCTGACATGAGCATCAAATACATTTATATTAAATTATCTAGAGTCTTATAAAGTAGCTTTTTAGCTACATATTGATTTACGATACGGGATGATAATTACCATTACGATTATAATTGCGTTTATGAATTTAGTGAAATCATAACGTCTTCATATATTTGAATATTTTTGTTCTTTTTGTAGACCCAATGATGATGGTAGTGGAGACAATGGAGATGATGAAGATGAAAATGAAACCGATGAAAGTTTAGTTCGTCGATTAGGTTTTCGACCAATTGATAATGAAATCATACGTTTAATAGGTCGTATACGTCGTTTAACAAATAAACAATCATTTGATCAACGAGATTTTGAAAATATGCAATATTTAATTGATGAATTAATACGTTTACAACATTTAGAAAATAGTTCACAAGAACATTTAGAAAAAATTATTCATCATCTTAAACTTTATCGTGTATTACGTTCAAAATCTCATGCATTACAATTTATACAAGATCGTTTACCACGACGTACAACTAAATCTAATAATGATAATAATTCCAATGTATTTGATATTTGGCGTGAACGAGAAAGACGTGCACGACTTGATTCAAAAGATAGTTTAGAAGATGAAGGACAAAATATTAGTGGACAACAATCACAAGATAAAATAGAATTTAATTATTCAACATCACCAACTATTCATTCAAATAATTCTAATAATAAATCAAAAGTTAAACAAATGGCAAGACATATTGATACAAAATCAGGATCATCATGTACAGGAGGAGATTATGTAGTACGAAGTTCATCACCATCACCAATAAATCAAAATCAAGCTTCTGATCGTTAGTTAGAAATATTTTTGTTTGTTTTAATGAATTCGTTTTATTTTTTTTTAAAGGTTTATATAGTGAAGCATTTATTGAAGATCGTTCACGAACGAGAAAACATGTATCACCAATATCATCATCGGAACAACGTCGTGTACGACAAATGGTTGATCGTCTTGAATCTTCATCGACATCATCAGCTAATCCAAGAGTAGAAAAAACATTACCAACAACTAAATCTTATCATGAAGAATATTCAAATACATCAAGAAATGTTACATCATCACCAAATGTTAAACGAATAACAAGAAGAGAAAATCAAGAATATTCTGTAAGAAATGGAAGTAATGGAAGTTTTGGTTTTCGTCAAAGAAGTCCACGTGAAGATATTCATATTCGAGATAATAATTCAAATATGAGAAGATATGAAATTGGACGAAACGAACCTATGAATTCAGGACGACATACTACTAGTGGAACACAGGTAAGTTGCTGTCAATAGTTCGAATTTTTCGAAACAAAAAAATAGAATTAATAAGATTTCGAATTCTTTTAAATTACAAATATGACTATAAAATCTTCTATTCAAATTCTTATTTATTTGTTTTTGTTCTTAGATGGACGAATATCCAACTTCAGTTATTCCGGGCGCTGAGACATCTGTTTCAATGGTTCGCGATATTCGTACTCGTTTTTATGACGATGATTCAACTCTATCACGCACTTATCATGATAATATTCCAGTTAAAGTTGATGTTGAAACATTGTATATATTAGAACAAAAATCTGTACCACCAACTACAAATATTTATACACCTGATTATGGATATAATCGTTCATCAACATTAGATCGACATGATTTTGCTGCACAAACAACAATACCAATAGTAAATATAAAACCATCTAATCGACCAATTGGTACACAAGTTAATTCAACTATTGAACAAAATACAGTTTCTGCTCAAACAACAGATTCATTACATCGACCAATAAGAGAACGACAATGTTTAACAGTAGGATCTATTGATAATGATGAAGCAAGTGAACTTATACGAACAAAAACAACAACAACAACAACAAAATATGAAGTAAAACGACGACATTCAAGTCATCATACAAGTGAAGATGAAGATGATGGTGGTACAACAACTATTGTTTATACGGATGATAAAGAAAATTATCAAGCAATAACACAACCACCAATTGATGATAAAATAAAAGAAATTTCTGACCGTACATCATATACTCAAGTTTCATCACATGAACGTACTGATCAAATAAGTGATACAAATCGAAATGTTGTTCGTCGTCATATTGAACAACATGATTATAATGAAAATGAACATCATTCATTAGAAGTTTATGAAATTCATAATCGTGGTGCATGTAAATGTCTTGTTGTATCTTATGAAGAAAAAACTCAATATGGTTCAGAAACACGTTTTGAAAGACAACTTCAACGTATTGAACGTACATATACAGATGAAGACTTAAAATCAACTGAATTACATGTTATTGTTACAACATCAGATGAAAGTTATCAATTAGTTCGACGTGAATATAGTTTAAATAAATATAATGAAGAAGAAAAAACATATGATAAAACAAGATATCCATCTATAGCAATAAATTATTATACAAAAGATGGAGTTCGAATGAGAACAGAACAAAGTCGTAATCTTGAAAATTTACCTTTATTTATTCGTTGTGAAATTGAATATGAACTTAATCATTATGGTATGTAAAAAAGGAATAATTTTGTTTAATAATGTTCAATAATAGATTAATTAGATCCTTTCATTAAATAGAAAATTTGATAGAATTCATCGTATATTCTTTTCTAAGAATGTAAACTCAAGAATCTTAAAAAAATTTCTTTTCACTAAATTTTGTAGACAATTTTTTTCGAAGTTTTCGATTTTTTTTCTATTGTTATCACACAATCAAACGAATGAGGAAATCTCTTTAGATCTCTCCTTGCAATTTTAATGTCTTTTTTTGCTATATATACTACATAATATTCTAACAAAGACGTTAAAAAAAATACTTGGCTTCCTATTAAGATTTGATTAAGTTATCATTTTGTTAATATGTCTACTTCCAAGATTCTAGATTTTCGGAAAAGTCACATTTTCGAATTTTGATCTAAAACATTGCCCAAATAGAGAATATTACTAGACTAGCTTTCATAAAAGAAAACCAGCAGTTTTGAACAAAGCCTCTTCGAGATAAGAAACTTCCAAAAAATGTATATTGTATATAGTATCCATGGAAAAGAGTCTATATCTTAAATGTCTCATATCCGAAAGAGATTTTAATTGAACTTTCTATATTTGCAAAGTTTCAGATAAAAAATGCGAAGATACGAGTTTTTCGAAAGCCTGCGATCTTTAGAAAATAAACATATTAAAAACTCGATAGCTTAGTAAATCCGAAAGGCCATCGGAGGAAGTTCTCTTGGAAGAGTGCATGGTTGTTTCTGAGGTGAATCAAAAATTGAAGTTAAAACAGTTCGCCAGGATTTTATTTTTAACTGCAAGGTCGATCGGACTTTGAAAATATATTATTAGTCTGTACGATTCAGAGGACCTTCTTTCCAAGGTTTCACCTGAATAGTTCGACAAAAAATGATGAAGCTTTACAGAAAGATAGATGTTGATAGACAGAACAAAAGTTGTTATAGACTCAAAGTTTTTAGATTCTTCCTTCAGGAAGATATGAGAGTCACAATGACCAGAAGTTACTCTCCCTTGGAAAATTGTACACTTCATTATCATCAAAGTATATATTAATTTAACAATACATATCGAATATTACTGATTGAGGTATGTATATTATGGAAGAATTTAGATCAAATATAGGACTAACTTTTATTGTCCTACAGGATCGTTCTTTGATTTGTGACTATTGAAAAAGACCATTTTTGAAGTTTTGTATACTATAAAGAAAACCTTGTGATTGATAAAATCATCTTCTATAATCATCCATATCATTGACAGATAGTCATGAGCTTCAAGAGATTCATCTTTTTAAAGATCCGAAAAACTACTAGAAAATTTTTATTATATAATAAAAAAATTAAAATTTTCCTAAATATCAGAACAATATTTAAAATAGACAATTATTTATAGGTAGTGCACAATTAATAATATTATCTGTAACAAATGCAGAACGTCGTCAAATGAATATTTCAACTAAAAAAGAAATTGTTGATGAAACCATATCACGTCTTGCTGGTCGTTTACCACCAAATAGTCCTGAATTAGAAAATGAAATTTCTCGACAATTAACTGAACAAATATCATTATTACATCTTGTTGATTATTCATCACGTGATGATTATAATCAAACAAATTCAACTGATTTACGTCGTGTATCACGTAATGATGTCATAACATCGTTACGTATTGTTCAACGTTATCGTACTATTATACATCGTCTTTGTCATTTATATCGTTCACATCTTCGTTTAACAACTCAAGCTGAACAACAACGTTATTTAATATTAGTTGCACGTGATGATTATTATTTATTAGATTTAGTATCTCAAACAGCAAATATACCAACAAGTAAATATGATATTCAACAAGATGAAGTATTTCAACGTGAAGTTCATCCTGTTCCTCAGGAACCATTTGATTATGCTAAATATCGTCGTGATATTGAACAACAACAACGTATACTTGAACAACATTATCGTAAAATGCAAAATGTTCCACCACCACAAGAACAATCATCCGAAGCCGAATTTTATCTTGGTAAAAGTTTCTTTTTTTATTTTTATTTTCTTCGAAAATTTTTCTTGTTTATTTTACTTTTAAATTAGGCTCTGGACGTCGTGCATTAATTGAACGGGAAATTCATTCTATGCGTGAATCTATACGACCACATGAACATGCTCCACCACGCTATAAACATGAACCTTCACGTCGTTCATTATCAATAAGTTATACAGGTGGACAACGTTATGTACGTGCACGTATTATTCATGTTAAAGATTTTTATGATGCAAATCAACAAGAACAAGAACAACAACCACAAAATGCAAAAGAACAAGAATTATTTGTTCGTGTTGATGATTATATTAATGAATCAGCAGCAAATACTTTACGTCGTTCATATTCAACTGATTATTTACAAGAAGATGGACCACGTTCAAGAATTCGATATATGCGTATACCAGGAGAAACAATTAGAATTGAAGAAAAAACAACCTATGAATATAATGGAGTTATGTATGCTGATTTACCTTATGCATTAAAATATTGGAATATACTTTATATCCTTGATCGTGAAGCTCGCGAAGGTCGTCCACTTGGTTCATCATTGCCACAAGTTATTGTCAATGATCCATATCGAACAGTGATACCACCATTAACTCAACAAGAAATTCGTGCAACAGCACAACAAGTTCTTTCACCACAATATTATCCGCGATCACATACAGATCAAACATTACGTTGGTTTTTATCACGTGATAAACGTACTGAAATTGAATCTGCTAAATATTTACAAGCATTAAATCATTATCGTCAACAACAACAACAATATCAGCAACAACTACAAAAACAACAATTACTGCAACAACAGCAACAACAAGAGCAGCTATATCAACAACAACTATTACAACAACAACGTCAACAATATGAACAACAACTACTACAACAACAACAACAACAGCAGCAGCAGCAGCAATATGAACAACAACTATTACAACAACAACTACTACAGCAACCACAATATGAGCAGCAAATACTACAGCCACTGCAATATGAGCAAGAAATACTACAAATACCACAATATGAGCAGCAAATACTACAGCCACCACAATATGAGCAACAAATACTACAGCCACCACAATATGAGCAGCAAATACTACAGCCACCACAATATGAGCAGCAATTACTACTGCAACGACAGCAACAATATGAACAACAACTACTACAGCAACCGCAATATGAGCAGCACCTACTGCAACAACAATATGAGCAACAACTACTACAACAGCCACAATACGAACCACAACTACAACAACAACAATATCAGCAACGAATACTACATCAACAAAAGCTTCCACCATATTATCAACAACAACAAGCTAATGTTAGCGTTCATGATGGAAAAATAGGTGTAGCAAAAAAATATTATGTTACGGAAAAAATTGTTCATTATAAAAAATTGCCTGATCGTTTTGTACCTGTAGTAGTTAATGATCGAGCACAATCAATCGATAATATTCATCATCGATCACCATCAGCAACTCGAATGGTTCGAGAATCTTTTCATTCACAAAAACAATTACATCATTCACATAATGAAATACAACGTTCACAATCACAACCACGTCATGAATATCAACCTTCACCATCAACATTTACATCTGATGTTCGAACACAATTACCATCATCATATGCACCTTTATCACGACATCATTCAGTTCATGAATTACATATTGCATCAACATCATCTCGTGCACCATCACCATCACCATCACTTCATAGTTTGCATAGTAATTATCAATCTCAACATCATCGACGACCAGTTGCATTTAATACTCGTTATCAAACACGATATCCAACACAACGACCAATGCAACAACAACATCAAAATGCATTATTAACTGAAATAATTGATAGTGGAACAGGTCAAATGATTTTAACGACCGGTCAAGAACAATTACCAACAGAAGTACTAGGTCTCTTAAATAAATATAATTTACAATAATTTTAATTTTTTTCTCCTTTATTTGTGTCTTTTTTTTTTTCAAATACAATAAAATAAATTCATTAATATTAATTAAATAGAAAAGAAAAAAAAATTGATTAGTATTTTTCGTGACATGTTTATTTAAAATTTTCAATGATAATTAATATACTAAAAAATTTGCCCTAATAGAGATTGTCAGATCGATGATATACACTTCAATGAAATTAGTATAGACTGTTATCATTCACTAATTTAACTACTGAGTTTTGAAGAAAGAATTGCATTTCGTATATCCTGAGTATTAATGATATTGAAATATTCATAGTATACACTTAGTTAAGACTTCTATTTATGTTCATTTTGTTAATGCATAAAGTCGATTAAGCTATATTCAGTGATAAAGTTTTGAATGTCGAAAAGAAAACTAAAACAAAAAATTAAATTTCCGAAATAATAGTTTATAGTCATTTTTCTGAAATTGAAATCGACCTAACTCCTTCAAGATGGTCCATGGAGAAAAACACTTTATGTGATTAAGCTCTACACAAACTGACATAAAAAACGATTGAAAACGGAGACTCACATTTCGTAACATTCTCTCGTAACCTTGATTGTCGCTCCGAATTTTGCTACTAACATTAGAGACTTGCATTAGAGTCAACTATATGTCTCACTAATAAATCATATTTAACACAAGAGGTTTTTCGAATTGTAAGTTTTATTCTTTAGTATTCAATGTTCGAATAGATATGTTTTCGGCATTCGATTGATGTCTCTTTTAGACCAACGGCCATGAGAAGAAGTCAGTCAATATTGACTTCGATAAGTTTCTCAAGACAACCTTGAAGATATGCTAATTATAAGCAAGTAATAACTTGAGAGTTACTTGTAGAGCATGGTCTTTCGGGTTAATCCGAGACCCATCCGACGAGCTTTCCATTGAATGAAGCTAGAAATAAAATTGTTTTAGTAACAAAAATTAATAATAAATGTCGAATCAAAGAATTAATTTTGCAAGAAACTTCACAATTAAAGATTTTGGTTTTACTTCAAATCTTGAACTTTATTTTTACGTCAAGTGCAATAGACATATATTCATCGAAGATTGAATACATCTAAGGCAAAAGAACAAAGTCTAGTAATCATGTATAATTTTCAATTTTTGAGTATGTATCGTGAGCTGTTTTTTTTTTTCAGTCAAGGAAGCCTTTCGTTTTCTATTTTTACTTGAAAGAATAACAAATGTTAGACTCTAAATATTCAAATTCGCTTCATCAAGTGTTATAAGACTTAGTATTTCAATTATCGTTGTTTTTCTCCCACAAAAATCATAATCAATTATAGAATAATTTTCGAATTATTTTTGAAAATTATTTTTTCAATATTTTAAGATGTTCAACTTAATATACAGTTGATTTCATCAAAATAAATTCTTTGAAGTTATTCATGGAATGATTTTTCTTTCAACATATGAATTTTGTTTTTCAAAAAAATTACAAGTTTGGAATTCGTTTTATACTTAATGAATGTTATGTAATTATGTTTAGATAAGCAAAAAAAAAAATAATTCATTGATGAAATTATACTATTGGATTTTATACAAATGATTTTTACCAATTTTACATTGATTTTTATTTCTATAAGATTAAAGTTTTTTTTTTTTTTTTTATCAAGAAAATATTCAGTTTTTAGACTTAAAATAGAAATTTATCAATAAGAAATAATTATAAAATTTTTACTCATACTTTAGGGAATTTTTTCAACGTGTTCTGGTGGTAAAATTTTATAAAAGAAGCAAAATTAAGATGATCAAATTTCAATTATTTATTTTTACATTCCATTTTCTCCGCTTCATTTTCTTTTGTTATCGACATTCTATTTCTGTTGTTCTTTTCTTTTTCTTATTATTTTATGAATAAATTAATAAAAGAAATTGATTTTTCTTTTTACATGAAAATAAATATTGTCATATATGTTTTGTCAAAGCATTATTACAGTTGTACATAGAATCTATCGTATAGATATCATCAAAAAATATGGTATGCAACTCTTGTAGAATAATTCATATAGGAATTATTTATTTCAAAATAGAATCCTATACAATTGAATGATAGTTGGAATATTTCAGTTCAAAATTCATTAACACATTTGAATATGCCACAAAAAAATAATCCATTACAATTTATTGGTGATTCAAGATTTCATATGATTATAACACGAGCTATGAAACAAACTCGTGTAGCACCATTATCACCTACACAAAGAATACGTTCTAGATGTAGTTCATGGTCAACTGCTTCAATTGTTAGTAGTATTGATTTACAATCACCTGAACCAACATTACATAATGAATTTAGTCAAAAGTAATTAATATTTGATTTTCTTTTTTTTTTCTTTTATATAAATTTATAATTTAGATTAGAAGTAATAAATAAAGCATCAAGAAATCGAAAAGTATTAATTATTATAATTATTTTTCTTGCATGTTTAATTTTGATTATTATTATTCTTAGTATTGTATTACCATTAACATTAATTAAAAGTAAATATTGATATTTAAGAGAGGGTCCATGAGAGCATCGAGCATGATCCCAGTATAAGAAGCACTCGTCAAAATTTAAATTTTTGGTTTTTTGTGTGCATTCGAAAGAACAATGTCTGAAACTACTAAACCTANTTTTTTTTTTGAAAAAATCCCTGTACTCCCCCTCAGGGATGGTCTGGTCAAAAATCACAATTTTTTCGATAACTCAGCCATTTCTTGACGGATCCTGCTCATCTTCGAACTCGACCGAGACATTGTTAAGACTGAACTGTATAGAAAATTTCATCGCGATCGGACTCTCCTTTCAAAAGTTATCGTGTTAACGGCCGGACGGACGGACGGCCGGCCGGACGGCCGGACACACTGACCGATTTTAGTAGTGTACTCACTTTTTGAGTACACAAAAAGTACATTCAAATATTTAAGTTAACTAAACATTCTTGTATGTGTCAAAAAAGGCAAGACAGATTTTTCCATTTAGAGATACGATGAAGAAAACGAACCATTTTCCTTAATAATTGGTACTTAGCATTACTGATGGTATTAACCATCGGTGTTTGGATACATGTTTTAATCATCATCATCATTACATCTCTATTTTCATCCATATGTTGAATTGATACCAATTCTATTGACAACAAATTAAACATCTGTTTATCTAAGAATATGCCAATCAATTTTTCTGATATTATATAGAAATAATTAGTTTTGGAATATGGATGCCAATAGTCTATAATGAGACTTCAATAGTCAATAAAACCGCTTTTAACTATAATCGCTATAACGATAAAAACTCTTTTAATCATATTAATTTTCACATTGTGTATATTGTTCGAATTCATCGTATCATTGTTGTCATCTTAGAGAATTATACAGAAACAAACAACTCGTAAGATATAAGACAACTTCAATGTTAATGAACTTTATTGTTTCCCTTTAGCTTTTAACTCATACATGTGTTCAAATACAACTATGCATATCGATGAATCTATGCTCGTGAAAGTTTAGATCAAATAAAACTTTATTTTTGTAATATCATAGCATTATAAATCAATAGTAGTCAACGAGAAGTTTATTTTAAGAAACAATTAAAATTGAAAATATATTGAATGGCACCTGTAAAAGACTGTAATTGAAGCAGTCGACAATGGATTCATGGTTATTATTGTTTATCGGATGCTGTGAAAACTGACAAATGCATGTTGACCCCTCCTCCCACCCATGTTGGGACGATCGCACAGACGTTGCTTTTGGTATGCATTTTTTGATTAGATAGAAATAAAAAATAACATTTGAATCGGTTTCGTTTTTCGGAGGTTGATAGAGTAGGATACACGAAAAGTGCTTCTTCCGACTCCTTTTACACTGTTCTTTCCATTTATCAAAGTCAGCGATATCGTATGTTTATTAAATATTTATATCTCAACGCCGAATAGTAACGTACTTCTTTTGTTCTCGATCAAATACTATCTACTTCCATTGAAGTTTTTTTTAAATTTCTTATTCTTTCAATGATTGTGATTCGTCAAGATAGATATAACATTATCGAAGCTTCTGCTGTCAAAAAAAATATTTAAAAATTGTTTCAATATTGATGATCATTCATATAGTATAAATGAAAAAATAAAATCAATATAGTAGACAATGCCAATGAAAATACGTCCATGTTAATAATATTAATAAACAATTCATTAAGCTTATCTATTATATTCGTTAGTACTCATACTATTGTATTAGTGTACAAAAAAGAAGTCTCAATGGGCTGGACTGAACTGAAGAACACCGACACAGTCGAGGGTTTCTTCTTGAGAAGAAAAAGACCTGCCCATGGATCATTCATCCGATTGAATGGGATAAATTTTTGACAAATGAATGAGCAATAATATTTCGAGTACGAGTAGTTGACGTATTATATACTAATGTTAGGTAACATATTTGATAACTAGCAAAATATTCAATTATCTCGAATTCACTAGTACTGTCTGATTGTGTGAAACACAATCGAAAAAGAATGTTGAAGTAAAGGATTCGAACTTCGGATTTATTGTCTTTCCACAGACATGACAGACCCTTTAGCAACGCTCTCTCCCTCGAATTACATGGAGTTTTTGAAAGAAAATCTACTGGACATATGAAACATCTTTTGAAAATTTTATATTTTATTTAAGATTCCGCTCCTAAATGTCCATTGCAATATCGAATCAGTTCGATCCAGCCCAAAGTTTTCTATTAAAAAAAAAATTTCGAACCGGAAAGTAACCGTATCGGAAACGATGATTTTTCCACATTATCGCGAAGTCAACAACCAGCCGAAATCTCGCCTGAAAGTACACGAAACTACAAGAAACTTACCGAAACAACAGAAGGATCCGACCGAAAGCACCACGTAACTTAACCTGCAGAGCTTGACAGAGAAAACTATGAACTTGGAAGAAGTATTCAGGACTTCAAAGCTACCATACCAAAAGAATAATATAACTTCAATGCACTGACACCACAAATAGAGAGGAAATGGCTATATTCTTACCAAAGATCTCTAGAAATCGTATGAAACTCAACGAAATATCAAAAATATCGGCTCGGAAACAAAGTGGGACCACTGACATCTAACCGAATGATCCGGCATAGAGTGTATTGAAGCATCAATTAAATTTTGACACTATGATGATCATTTCAGAACAAATATCTACACTACACAAAACGATTTGTACGAATCATTTAATTATTACCATTGAAGCATCGGTAAAACAGAATATATTCCACGATTTTCTTTAAATCTTTCAAATCTATCAATACACAGAGTTCGAGTTGTCAGTCAGGTAACAATGATCTAAGAAGTTTCTCGTGAATTTTACGACATATCGAAAACTCATTAAAGTGGTGCATAATAATCATCAAAAAAGCATAATTTATAATCAGTTTTAGTGGAACTCTCGTTAGTCACTTCGGAAGATGCTTATTCTCGGATTAGATGATGCAAAAAGATGATTGACAACCAGTTCGGAAGATAGAAGTGAGAAAGAAGGCAAGAGGGTCTGAACTGAGGAAATGACGAAATTGACTCGGTTTATATTCGTCAACAATTAAGAAATATTTATAAAAATGAAATACTAGAAATAGAAATCAATTCTTTAGATGAAAATCTTGCTGAACAACTCTTGTATTATTGGTTTGAACAAGTTCAACGTTGTTTAGCATCTATACAACATGAATGGCTTAAGAAAACAATTTAATTCACAATTTTTTTAACATCACTTTTTCTGCACTTCTATATGATCAAACGTTAACATGGCATTCATTTGATCATATACTTGATCGAGCATTTTTAGCTATAAGACATACAAGTGATGCTATTGGATATTTATATAACAAATTAGGAGTAAAACATGGTCAAATTTTATTTCGACGTTCAATGCGATGTCTTCAATTATCAGATGGATTAAGCGAATTTGAAATAGAAGATATTCTTTCATTAGATGATGAAGTTTTACAATCAATTTTTGTTCATTATTTACCACCATTTAAATTATTTCGAATACCATCTACTTTATGGATTCGTGTTAGAAATGGTAAACATTTACTTGAAAACGATATTGACAATATTCCATGTATTTATTCATAAGTTAGAAAATTGACTTACAAAGATGTAAAACTTTTCTTTCGCTTTTCTTAATGTAATCATAAGTCGCAAAGAAAATATGATGGAAAAATTCAGTTTTCACTGACGGTAATAGAATTTTTGAATTGATTTTTATTCATACCTAATAAGTGTGTTAAAAATTGCATCGTTCGTAGTGTTCATCTCTAGTTATAAAGAGTGCGCAAGATATCACTTCTGTTTCATTGTCGTGTACTATGATAGTCTCAGTTTAGTGATTTCATTCATTAGTTCAAAATGAAATATAACATCGAATTCTCCTAGGCTGATTCTAAAGTCTAATGAGTAGTGGACAAAAGTTGCGCATTTGTTTATATTCATCAAGTAAATGGATGACAGAATAATTCAAAACTCTTCACGACACACCCACACCCACCCATGTCACACAAATAATGATGAATAATAAAGAAAATGAAGTCATGGACAAAAGTTCGCCTTGAGTATTTTGCTAATCAATATAAAACAACATTTGATATGAGTTATTCACCGAAATAAGTTAATAAATATAAATTATCAACGATGATAATATCTATTAATCGTTGTCCAACTGAACAAAAACATTTTAAAAAAGAAAATAAATCAATATAATCTTCGTCGTCTACATCAATTATATATCAATATAAATCATTATGATATTTGTTCATGAATGGACTGTATGTAATTATGACTTTTTATCAGCATATCTTCGTTCTGGTAAAGCCTATTTATATTGATACTAAGTAACAAAAATGTCATTGGTCGTTTGAATGGTTTGAATATCATTCGAGACAGTTGGTTATTTGGCAAGTGTATCAAAGATGTACATTACCCGTTCTAAGAGTAAGCATCACTGATTTCTTTGCGATCATGTCAATGGAAAAATTTTTCGTGGATAGTCGCAGCTTTATCATATCAGCGGACAATTTGATTGCTAGAACATTTTTGACGAAGAATACATATCAAATGCCGATAGTTGAAAAAAGGGGTTTAATCGTTGATGCACTCGCTCTCTATTAGAAACCGATCGATTTATAATCTTATATTGATATTCTTTTGTTAAATTTATAAAGGATCTCGTGAGCAATGCTATTTCAAAATTATCCTGATAGCAAATCGGTGTAACTCAAAGTTTAGAACATTTCATTGTCCTCAGCATAATATTTATATTCACCTCAACCTCCAGTTGTCCATGTTCAACTGCAAAATAGGGTGACTGAACCGTTCATTGTGGATGTGTGGATGCTGGTGTCCGCATGAGTAAGGATCTTTTGTGTACTCTCACATACGCCACAACACTGTTGTTGCTGTTATAATTGTTTCCAGTGATGTTATATTCGTAGATTGGGATGAGAAATTCCAATGCCGATGTACTTTCACTTTCAAAAAAGTCGATTCTTTCCATGTATAAAAAAAGTGAAAGATTGAAACACTAAAGATTTATAATTCAACTTTACATCTCAGGCCGTACAAAATGAACCATTCGTCATACATTTCTACCTCTTCTTTTTTTAGTATATTTCTGAATAAAATACAACTTTTTTCATAGCCTGAGACTAGCAAGGCCGCACCAGTACGAATTACAGAGCTGAAATTTAGTGTGGATGTAGATTACTCAGAAAATAGTCACATATGAATACATCCGTCCGAATCAGTCAACAAGAAAAAAAGTTATTAGACAAATACAGCTGAAATCTCAATTGTACAGAAAAGTTGCAATTTCCTCATTGTGTTGAATTAAAAGAAAAAAAAGTACCATTGGATATTTATTCAAAATCATTATTAAAAACAAGAGAATTCAATTACAGTTCATGGCTTATGTTATCATTGTTTCAGAGCAACGACAATCCATATTCAAATGAATTCAATAAGTATTTGAATTAACAATGGATGATAGGTTGAAATACTTACTTTCTTTCTTCTTTGATATTTAATAAAATGAGTAATATGACAACAATCATCTATGTTTGAAATAACAATCAACTACTATCTCATTTACAAACAAATTGTTGTTAATGGTTACTTGCTGAAAGATAGTAAGAACCATTTTACTGAGAAAAATATAAAAAAATTGTTTAAGAAAAAAAAGCTCTTGTTAAATACAAATACTTTTCTTAGAAATTTGAAAATATTCATCATCGGGATAAAGTTACAATCTTACATCAATATATTATATTGTATTATTAGTTTAATGGAACTAGAAAAAATTCTGGTTCAGTTCATTGAAATAGTACCAACTGAAAAGTGATTATCTTAGTTCCAAATTTTTTTCATAGAAAATCATTCATTTAAAACAAAAATAAGCACATGATAGGATAACACGTAAATTTTTAACCTATCTTACTGCTTGACGTCAAAGCAGCAAGATAGAACAGGATATACGAACTAGTCTTGAATTTTCACCTCAATTGTTCTTTATAGTTGTTGCAAAATACATATTGCCATTGATTACAGTTAGTACTTGCTGTTAGTTGCTGGTGTCACTTTCGAATTGAAAAAGTAGCGCTAATTTTATTATTGTTCGACATGAGTATTAAATTAGCAATACAAAAATAATAAATAAATATAAATAAATACAGAATACTTATCAAGAGTCATTTGTATTCTTATTGATCTCGCGCTTTACTTTATTATTCTTTTCTTCATTTTTGAATTTCTAACACATTGACAACAAAGTGATATATAGATTTAAGTGACATATTTTCTCCACGTGAAATTCCCCAGAATGCAAAAAAAGCTAAAATTTTTACTTTTGATAAAAAATAAATATTTATCAAAAACAATTTTTCTTTGAATAAGTTAGTTGTTTCGAATATTTTGAAATATTTATTCATTCTGCCAAAGGTGGAACAACGCTAATAAAAGAACATCAAACAGAATGTATAAAACTCGTGTCTTTTTCTTCTATAATAATTAATCAGTTGAGTACTTGATTATCAATATAATCAACTCTAGCACAAAACTAATTCAAAAACATGTTCATAATATGAAACAACTATATGCACAATGGATTTGCACGATTCTTCATGTTTCTTCGACATTATATTAGAATTGTGATGTTTGACAAAATCGTGAAATACATTGATTATAAGATGACTGAGAATTCTCTTACAAGCTTCTGTGAGTTAAAATTTCAAGGAGATGTAATGTTTGACCTGTGTTCATCTCTGATTTCAGACTATATTAAGACTCATCATTTCTTTTCTTTATGAATATAATGATTACAATATTTGCTTGTATTTTCTTTAGACAAAGAACTTTCTCAGCTGACTTCAGCATCAATAAGGAGCTATGAATGACAATTACGGTTTGATATATACATTCCTTCTAACTGATCATTTTGATGAAATATAAAGTTTACTTAATCATTTATTAAATGTTTCAACTTCAAACAAAGATTTTACGACAAACATCTTATTATTCAGCATCAGTTGGTAAAGTTGAAACATGACCGAGAACCCAATCACGAAAAGCTGAAGTACGGGTGTAAACACCACCATCACCACATCCATAACCCTATGTTTAATGAATGAATGATATTTAGTCATAGATGAAACAAAAACTTACCCATGATGTCAAACCAATTATATACCAACGACCATTAGCATGTTGAACAACTAATGGACCACCTGAATCACCTTGGCATGTATCTTTGTTTTCGCCATCGTAACCAGCACAAACTTGAGTTGTTGGATTTAACATATTTGCACCGAATTTCTTTACACACTCAGCATCAGTCAAAACTGGCATTGCAACTTCCATGTGATAGATAGCAAGATTTCCACCGGAAGACAATGTACCCCATCCTGTAGCCACTGAAGTTGCACTTTCATAAGTATCAGTTTTAGCAGGAAAACAAGCTGGCATTACGTAATTATCAAAAGCTATATTTGTATTCTAAAGAATTTTCTTTCTTTGTCAGCATATCATTAATAAGAAAAAGGAAACTACTAACACTAATTTGAAAAAGAGCAATGTCATTTTGAATCAATCTTGAGTTATAGCTTGGATGTACAACATATCGGATTGATACGTATTCTCTACTCCATTCATCCTATAAATTCATTTTTATTATCTATATAGTTATTTATTTTCTTCTTACATGTTTGTTTCGTTCATGGAGACCACAATGCCATTTGTATGAACTTGCAAGACTGCCAGTGCTTCTGTATTATTTTCAATTAAAAATAATTACTGATTAGAATTTATTCGTCAAGTTCTGTACTTACACACAATGGGCTGCAGTTACAATCCATTGACCATTAATAAGTGAGCCACCACAAATGTGACTCGTTGGTTTACGCATAGAACACTATGAATATTAATAAATTATTTTAATAGATAAGAAAAGTAAAAAGACAATGAACACTTACCGACCATGGCCAATCACCACGATCCGATTCTGTACCACCAACAATTTTATCATCATCACTAAGAGACACCAGTGGACGTCTGCCACAATGATTTTTATTCCATGATTGAGAACTTACAAGGCCTATTTTTTTTATTTCGGAATCGAATTAATAAAAGAATATTTCTAAGTGAAATAACAAACTTACCAACGAAAATACAGAGGAGTGCAGTTATAAGCATTGTAGTTTTCTTTGTCGATACTAATGAAGCTATTGGCATGAAAGACAGGCTATTTATTCTTCGCGAAATTTGTGTTTTTTTAAATTTTATAATCAATATCGTAAGAGAAATGTGTGAGTGTGAGAATAAGATCAGATGATTGACTTCTTTCTGTCGATATGTTTTTTCTTACGGAAGACTCATGATGATATTGCATTTTAAAATAAACGATTGCTTTTATTATTATTATTATTATTGTTATTATTATCAAGGACGAATGCTGTATTTTCAAGATGTCGAAGTTCACATGAAATGACGTAGATATTATTTGTAAAAATGATTTTCACTTTTTTTTTAATAAAGACAAAACATTTTTATGTAATGATGTCAATGCATTTTTTTTTATTCTACAGATGATATGAACGAGCAAAGTCCTCCAACTGATTGATCGCCTATGAGACGAGACTACGTACGATATGTAGATCCAAATGAGCTATGAATATCCAGAAGAGAGTTCAGGCGCTTAGCTTATTGCTGTGGAGATACTGCAGTTTTACAGTAGTTTTTAAATGAATATTATTGTGACTGTTTCAGATCTTGTTGTCGTCCATATTCTAAGATCCAATTATAGATATAGTGTGTCTTTTACATCACTGATATAAACCAGCAGCTTTCATGTTGTTATCTAAGGATAGAAGTAAATCAAAAGACTAGAAACATTCATAAAAAAATTACTCTAATTAAGGCTTGTTTGTTTGTAAAGTATCAAGTCGGAATTCTAAAATCAATTTTTACGGTTCTCCTGCATCCTTTTAAAAAATACTGCAAAAATGAAATATCTCCTCAGAAGTAACATAACGACACAAACCGCTTTCAAAGTATTCATAACTCATTTATATCTACACAATTCACATAGTCTTGACTGAAAAGTGATTTATCAATTAGAAGACTTTTCTCTTAAGTCAGTGGATTGTCAGTGAGTTATTAGTAACACTGAAAGATCATTTATCGGATGAATGAACATTTAAAAGGTATGATATGGAATGATATTTAAATTAAACTTTGCTAAGTATATTTAATATTAATGTTCGAATTTATGTAAGTATTCTATCAGAAAAGGAACCATTGTTCAAAGTTTTTCAGATAATACATAACAACAAATTAATATTTTATATTGAAAATGATCTGTTATTATCTTTTCGATTGAAACGTCTCGTAATATTTATAGAAAACTTTTTAAAAATTAAAATGCCCAAAAAAAATCAATCATTGCTTTTCTCTAATAAAATACAACATATATATTTAATTGACAGAAAATCAATAATTAGTTTGCTTTTTTCGATTTTTTTTTTTATATAATAATTATTATCTTTTTTGTTTGAAGTCTATATATTTATTCAGAATGAGAATTAAACTGTTAGATTAATACCATTTCTTAAAAGGTATTACATCGACAAGGGAATTTTCTCTAACTTTAAATCAATCAACAGTTATAGACAATGCAGAATGTCTACTTCAATTAGGATTGTATGACCCAAATCATTTGTTAGCAATGTGAATTTGCGAAGAATAACTTGAAAGAAATTAACATTATAGACTTTTATTCAGATGAGTTATCAGTAATAAAGTAGTCTTACGAACATGACACAAAAAGCGACATTGACTTTCACTTCATGTATTTTAGTTTAAAAAGATTCGGAATTAGTACAATTCTTTTTGAAACAAAAATAGTATATTATGTGTAGACAATTTCTGAGACTACAAAATTTCTATTCAAAGCTTGATGTAAGCATACGTAGTTTTTTTCAAAAGAATCGATTTTACTTTTTGTCAGTGAGATAACGAAGTACAAATATATAATCGAAAAAATGCTCATGTAACTCGATGAGAAGTTCAAAACCAATTTCAAACAGGGTCAAATCTTTCTTTAGAATCTGTAGATGATAGTAAGAGAAAAAATTTTGTTTTGAACCTTGAGAGGATGTCTAGAAATTGGTTATTTATAGGAATTTTTTAGAAGTTCGATCTTCCTGAAAATTTCACTATAGCTTCAGTTCATGCTGGAGAATGTATCCTGAAGTTTTAGGATTTTTTCTTCTCAAATTAGAGAGATATTCTCTAATTACTTTTTAATTAACAGTTAATTGAAAGTTTCAACTTTTTTTTACATGTCTATGGCCAAAAAAAAAACTTATTGAAAAAAAACTCTGGTAAAGAATTAAAGTGTAATGAAAGATGGATATGAGTGGCTTTGCTTTGAAACGATCCATATATGTTTTTTTTATTATTACATATTTCGTTTCCATATTAGATCTTGTAAAACATTTTGGATATTTACAGTTGAGATAATACAAAAAAATATATTCAAATATTCAAATCAACTGAATACTTCTACATGTTTTAAAACAAAACATGAAACATTTTTCCATCTAGAGATACAACGAAGGAAATGCACTGACTACCTCATCATTGGTACACAGCATCACTAATAGTATTATTCATCGAATACATTTTTTCATCATGATCATCATTGCATCTCTATTTTCATCCATTTTTTTAATTGAAATATTTTTCGTTGATACCAATTCTATTGACAACAAATTAAACATCTGTTTATCTAAGAATATACCCATCGATTTTTCTGATATTATTATATAGAAAAAATTAGTTTTGGAATATGGATGCCAATAGATTATGATGAGATTTTAATAGTCAATAAATTCGATTTTAAATATTATTCTTAGAACAATAAAAACTCTTTTAATGCTATTATCTTTCACATTGCGTATATTTTTCAAAATCTTCTTATCCTTTGTATCATTTTAGAAAATTTCACAGAAAAACAAACAACTCTTAAGATTTAAGACAACATCAAAGTCAATGAACTTTATTGTTTTTCTTTAACTTTTAATTCATGTATGTATTCAGATATAACTATGTATACCGATGAATCTACGTTCTTGAAAGTCTAGATTAAATAAAACTTTATTTGTGTGATGCCATTGCATGAAAAATCGATAGTAATAAACCACGAGTTTTTCTAAAAAGATTTATAATTATTATAGTTTGTGGAATTACATAAAAACTGACGTATGTATCTCGACACATTCGTGCAACATGCACTTTTTGTGTACCTTTTTAGATTCCATAGAATTTTTAAAAAATGAATCGATTTTGTTTTTTAATGGCTCATACAGCTGGGCGCATGAAAAATACTCCTGCTGACACGTTTTACAGTCCTTTTTTCATTTATCACAATCAATGGCGTCGTACTGTTATCAGATATTTATTTCACAACGCCTACTACTAACATGGTTCTTTTTCTCTTGATCAACTATTGCCTACTTCCATTGAAGCTTTTTTTTTATCTGTTATTCTTTCAATAAATGTGATTCTTCAAGGCAGATATAACATTATCAAAGCTTTTATTGTTTATAAGTATTTCATAATTGTTTCGATGCCGATGATCATACATGTAATACAAATAAAAAAACATAATCGATTAAGTAAACAATGTCAGCTAACATTCGCCAATGTTGAGAATATATTAAGATTATATGTTAAACACGTCAGTATTTATACTGTTCTATTACATGCAGGATCTTCATGGAAGTAAGTCAAGTCGAGTCTTGATTTTTCTGACTCGTTTCGATCTATAGCACAAAACGTGGCAAATTAGAATTTCAGTTACATCTGCAAATTTTTATTTGTATTACAATATGAAAAGGTTTATAGAGAGAAAGTATGATAATCAATATTTAAGCAGATATATTAGATAGAATACACTTTTTGTTCTTCGTGTTGTCTCTCTTGACGTGTATTCATAAATTAATTGTTTGACTGATACTCACATATTTTTTAGTCTCTGTGGATTTCTAGGATACTCAATACTATCCATGCTTTTGGTATTTATCATTGCAATATTTATTAGTGGTATTCCAAGGTTTATTGTTCTGTTTCCATGGCTTGTAAAAAAGTCAGTAGTAATAAATAGAAGAATCTCGTTTGAAACATTGTTTTAATTTCATAGAAATACCATAAATAATTACTACGTATATCGATTGAAACAGTATTTAAGAATGATTTATATATCATGTTTATTACTTAGAGATAGTAACACTCTTTTTTTATACAATGTGAATTTACATAAGATTATTTGAATGAAGCTGATTGTGTAGACTTATTGAATTAATTGTTTAGTAGATATAGGAAGCATTTTGTTTTTTATTTATAATGGTTTGAAGAATTTGTATTATATAATATAAGCCATATCTATGTTAAACTGGTAAGTTTATGTCAAAACAATTTTTTTCAATTTAAAATACTGTACTATGTCATTTATTATCTTCATCTGATTGATCATCTACATTCATCATGAATTATAACTAATGAATAAATACGAAATAAAGATGAGTTTTTATCTTATTATCATCTATAAATTATTTGTTCAGAAATCGAAAATAATGAAAATATTCTTTACTATTATTTTCGTTAAATTATCTGTAAAAATTGATATATCACATTTATAATGTGGAATACAATTGTCTACAACTGGTATTATTTGAAACTATTTGATTTAAATACTGTCATGTGAATCAAATAATAAATTTATTCTATTAGCTTAGATATTTATTTCAAAAGAGCTTCTGATGAAATAAACACAAACAAATAGAGTATTAGTCTCGTCTAGGGATTTGTAGGATCATGCCATTTTAATCTCAGTCTCAATGATTTTAGTTTTTTCGAGTTCGGGTCGAGAAAAACCTACTCCAGATTTTATTTGTATCACATCGAAAAAGTTCATTAATGCTCATTTTTTTTATTTATTTACTCGGCAATTGGAACACTTTTGAGTTATCTCTCTTTAATTATGTTCTGATAAATATGATTTATGAAATGATCTCCTGAAAACCATAGACTATTTAACTATAATCTTTGTTCCGGTCAGGATAATATTTTTCTCGTAGTTTCGATCTTTCACATCTCTAGCGTCGTTCATATGCTAATAATATGGACAGAAC